CCAGCCTGTGTGTCTCCATTGGAACATTCCTTTTAGCAACTTCGGTGCCTATTCTCTCATTGAATCTCACTTATTGCATTAAGAAGGAGCTTATTTTGAGTTTATTGCTCTTCTCTGTGTTTTACTTCATGAAATGGTGGAACCTTCACTTAATTTACTAGCACATACCTTTTACTTTGGGTGGTAATTTTGTCATTGCTATGCCAGAAACACATACCCAGTTCTTCAGAGGATGGTAATTACCTGCCGCGTCCTGAAGACTCATCAAGTCTCCTTGCTGCGTGTTCAGCGTTGATGAATGTTGGTGCTACTTATAAATACAGTGATTGGATTTCAGTCAGGCAATAGAAAGTTTTTGTTGCTTTGAATTATTTCTGACTTGGTCAACAAATGTGAATTTCTTCACATTAGTTTTTCTGCATACAAAAATGTTAGTTTTCCCAGTTACCTTTGAGCAATTGGTGAGTCAGAAGACATGGCAAAGTGTTTCACTGTATTGTAGGTATAAAGATAGGTAGGATTTGTCCTTGACTTTCTGGATTGTTTGTATAAGTCTCTGTAAGCCTCTGGTATGAAGGGTGCAGGTTGTATTTTTAGATGGTATGGGTGATTTGTGGAGTGGGGGGTGGGGGGAGATGAAATTTTAAGGCGGTACTATGTAAGATGTGTGCGTGGGTGTGGCCCTCTCATAATTAACATAAAAAAGGTAATGTCAACTAGAACACAAAGAAGTGGAGTGACTAGTGACTGACTGTGTAGAAGAGCAGAGACTTGAAGCACCAGCATCCAGGAGGACGGGGCCTGTGCCCGGAGTGCCTTTCGAGAGAAGCTTTCTAAAATTTGTGTGAGAGTTTGACAAGGAGAAACTGGCGGCTTGACCGGAGGGATGGGGTTGTCCTTCCATCTCTCCGTCTTTCTTCTGTGCTAGCCAAGGCCATGGAACTTGGTGTGGCTGACTTAAAAGAAAAAGAACCTGATTTTCTCTTGAATTGGACCCATAAACTTCTGTATTTTTCTGTGGGATCTGTCTTGCTGTCATGTGAACACGTTGATATCATCACCGACTGTCACAATATTGATCCCCGTGACTACCTGTCTCAGAAACTGTGACTTGAAGTGTCAGAGGCTCCGTGAACTCTTCTGCCTGAACAAGCCCTGATGAAACCTGTGATGCCAATGTCAAGGGAATCTGGGGAATCTGAGGCTAGGAATTACATCTGGGTTTACGGAGCTGTTCTTGACAGATGGGTTGAAGAGGGTGGCAGTACCATCCTGGATGCCTGGCACATTGGCCATTGTTTATATGAAATATATTAAGGAGAGAACATGATAAATTGTAACTTTTCTCTCTCTCTTCTGCCTTCATTCTTTCCAGCTTTTCCTCTTTCATGTTCTTCTCCCTTTAACTCTCATTAACTTTCTATGAGTGACGAATGACAAAGCTTCAGTTTAAAGCTCTCCTCTATATATAACATTGAAAATACCAAATTGTTTATGCCAGCATAACCTTCACTAATGACCAGCAGAAGTTGATTTCTTTGTTTGAAACACATAATAATAAAAGTATAGGCTCACTTTCTGTGGAGATGAGAGGATGCTTAGGAACTTTGCTTGATATCACACAGCTAAGGTTTATGAGAAATGATAGCTTTAGCCTCGAGGTCCTGCTGGAGTTAATGTGACTTCCCTGTATGCAAGAATAAACTAGAACAAGACTGGACTGCAGGACTTAGAGAGGCCAACAAACTCACTCAGCAGCTCTCCTTCATTAGCCAGTCCTGAAGCGTGTGCACAGCCTCTGGTCGCCTAAGGGTCGCCTCCACCACAGAGCTCCCCTGACTTCACTTATTTCTTTAAAGATTTTATTTACTTATTTTCAGAGAGACAGTAAGGAAGAGAGAGAGAGAGTAAGAGAAACATCAGTGTGAGAGAGAAACATCAGTTGGTTGCCTCTCGCATGCCCCCAACCAGGATCCTGGCTTGCAACCCAGGCGTGTGCCCTGGCTGGCAGTTGAACTGGCGAGGTTTTGGTTCACAGGCCGGTGCTCAATCCACTGAGCCACACCAGCTAGGGCTCTCCTGACTTTAGTTGGTTGGTTTTCGAAATGCAGTGATATTTAAGTTACAGAAGGTATCAGTACTTCCCCCAAATCTTGATTTAAAAAAACAATTCACAGACATGCACAACTACATGCTTGATAGTCTCTTAATCTTCTGGCAGCAAAGCTGCAGGGCCCACGGGTTTCTGAGCAGCACTCTGAAATACACCAGACCCTTCTTTCAAAGAAGACTTTCCCCAGCTATATGATCTGACCCATGTCCAGTCTACACAGCTCTTTCTTTTTCTTCTTTTTTTTTCCTCTTTTTTCCCCCGTCTTTTCAAAGACTGATTTATGTGTACAAGCTTGAACCCTTCTGCCCCCCTCCAACCCCCCACGAGTTGCACAGGCTTTGTTTCAGGCCCTGGGGGAGGAACAGTTGTGAGTGCATTGTGACTCACTGCTCCCGCTTTCCTGGTTCTGGTTCTGATTGGTCGTCACCTTGCTCTAGCCATATGGCTGCAGAGTACTCTAGCCTGCATCCCTTTCTCGTTCTTTCCCCTACTGTTCCCTTCTGTTGTACACAACACTGGGAGTGGGTTCCTGGCTTTGTCTCTCGCTTGTAGTTCACCCCCGTTAGGCAGCCTGTAGAGAACACTGTATCTCCTAAGGATGGCTGTAGAGCAGAAAAACACCCTTTCATTTTGTGCCTGGTATAGTAATTATTTAATTTCCTGTGCTGTTTTTGTTCAAAGTTTATTTTTTGGCAGGTGTTACATTTGTGTTGTATGTTTTTCCCCTGGTTTCTCTCCTCTGATTTGAGCTGTTTTTTTTTTTTTTGGAGTTTCTTTCTCTCACTGTTGTGTTATACTTTTGTTTATTTGTTGTTATGTTTGATTAATGCTGATTAATATGTTTTGGAGGCAGACTGAAAGCACCTCTAAATAATTATTTAATTGTTAAATGTCTGGCAGTCACCAAGCAATAAAATCTACTTGTGACACTCAGAATTAATCCATAGCACCCCTACTGTTACTTTCTCTTCTCCTAAACTATATCAGTTCAATTTCTCTGCCGTTTATACTTGAGAAATAGGATTTTAAAGATGTGAAAGTTAATTTTTATAAGCATTTGATATTTTTATTAATTTGCATTTTTATTATTCTGCAGATGGTTTCTGTAGAGACATTGGACTCTGCATCCTTTTGTTTTTCTTCTTAATGTTTAACGACTGAAAGAAGAAGTGCTAGCAAAGTATAAAGTATAGCAGACTTTTCCCCCCAAAATTGGCCTTTCTGTGCTATTTTCATTACTAAAAAAAGTCAATAATAAAACTAATAAAAATTCTTTCAAGGATGTATTTTACATGGACTCAACTCTTTAAAAATCCATTTTGTAAGTATTTTAATATTCAAATATGTTAAGCAAGCAGCCTGCAGGTTTGGATTTTTAGAGCATACGTGCTATGAAGTTGGTTAGAATCATAAGCAGGAATTTGAAAATCAACCTGGCTCTCTGTTTTCACTTAACTCTTTATTTAAAAATCTCTATTCACTCCCTTTTCTCTATTCATAATCTCTATTAGAAAATGGCAGTCTGTTTTTTTCAGAAATAACAAACACTTGAAAGTGTATGAGACAGTGCTGCTTATATTTTCTTTCAGCTATGAGAGCAAGAGAGTCAGAACCCAAGTCTGGCCCCAAATGGTTACTGTATATCGCCTGAGCCTTTTGCTGGTCACTTTATATATTATGTGAAGAGGATGAGGACATTGACTTAGCCACAGATATGGGTGTGAGGAAAAGTCCTTTCCCTCATGGAACTTACATTCTGTTAAAGTGTATTATGTGTAGTAATATAATATATTACTATATGTATAATATTTAGTAATTATAATACTATATGTTATAATTATATTATACATAGTAATATATAGTAATGAAGGTATCAGGTACATATGTTCTTGGATTTGAACAAGGTCAAGAAAATTCAGCAAACCTTAAAATTTTCATCCCGTGTAAATAAATCCCTACTCTGCCTAAACAAATGCATGCATTTCTACAGATCCTAGCTCAGCAAAGAAGTGCAGCTCATGAGGTATACATTTCAGTGATTTAGAATGTCTAGGCCCTGGCCAGCAGCTCAGTTGGTTGGAGCATTGTCCTGATACTTCCAAGGTTGTGAGTTCCATCCCCAGTCAAGGCACATACAAGAATCAGCCAGTGAGTGCATAAATGAGTACAACAACAAATCAAGGTCTGTCTGTCTCCCCCCGCAAAAATTCAATAAATAGAATGTGTATTGTTTATATTGCATATTTATGAGATCAGGTGTTCTTTGTTTAATAGTCTATTTAATGTTTGAATCTGGGGCAGCTACAAGATACTTTTTGATTGAGAAAAATTAGTATGGCTGGTACCCATGCTGTCAGATGCAAGAAGAAAAATGACCAATACTGTGTCCATAACAGTTCTGAGTACTTTACATTTAGCAGCTGGTTTGGTACTTGTAAGAACCCTAAGGATATTGTTATAGTTGCCTCATTTTACAGGACAGGAATTACAGCCATAGATAGGTTAAGTAACTTGACCAATGTCATATAACTGGTAAACAGCACAACTGAAATTTGAATTTAGGCATTACATTTCCAGGGTCCCATCTTCACTGCTGCACTCTATTGTCCTGCCCTTCCAGCCTAGCACCCCCGGCTAATCATAGTCAAGAAATCTGAGCTCTGCTATGTGACCTCCATTAGTTTTTCTTATGTGCATGCCTCAGTTTCTCTTTATGTATAAAAATGTTTCTTATGCCATAGGTTTCTCCTTATTTGTCATATCTGTTAATTTTAGTTGTAACAAGTTTTAGATTAAAGATGTCAGAGGCATGTAATTGCTTCATATTTCTCTACAGCTGGTAAGACAGTATTCTGATAGGTTTTATTTCTTTGTTCTCATTTGATAGAAACGAGTAGTTGAACAGCTACGGAAGAATCTGATGGTAAAGCAAGAACAACCTGACAAATTCCAAATACAGCCATTGCCACAATCTGAAAACAAACTACAAACAGCACAGCAGCAACCACTACAGCAGCTACAGCAGCAACAGCAGTACCACCACCACCATGCCCAGTCAGCTGCACCCTCTCCCAGTCTGACTGCGTCCCAGGTAACGTGTGGGCGGGGCTCTGTGGGCTCCGTGTTGTACATCAGTGTGTTACTGGTCATGTGAACTGGGTCTTGTTTCAGACTATGGTAAGTTTAAGTAGCTCTAAGCAAAAGTTATTTTGGTTACTTTTTTATATCATATATCATATATCATATCATATCATATATCTAGGATAAGATTAACTTGAAATTCATTTGTAAAAGGAAATAACATTACTGAGGAGCAGAAATGAAATGATTTACCGCCTGTTCAAAAAGGAGGGAAAGGTAGTCAGTGACAAAGGAAAATTGCATCTTTGTATGAGAACAGAAGTAAAGTCTTATTTTGAATATCTTGAAATATTTATCAGAGCTTGTTCTAAAAGTCTATAACTTTACCTCTTCTGAAATTGTTTTTCTGGAATTCTTAGCAATTAAGCATGGAGATATTATAGGATCAGTGCCCTTGGGACCAGGTAGAAAGAGGCAGTTAGAAGGGTGATGTATTTCCATTATTCATAGAAACAAAATATTCATTTCTAAGTCCATATTCATGAGAATATGAATCCATTCTAATACACTGAAGGAGATCTGGAAGGGAAGCTGCAGGTCAAAACTAGCACTAAGGAGTAGAAGCTTAATAACATTCTAACTCAGTGTAGCTGCGCAAATGATTTTACTGCAGAGGGCATTTAAACTGCATAGAATGTGAGGATAGTGAGGCAGTCCAGACACACAAAAAGGACATATTTGGGAATGACCTTCAGTTAAGGAAATTATTCAAGCTTGATCTCCCCACACTTAGATGTAATGTGGGCACAGCTTTTAAAATGGGATGGTTGAGCCATGGTTGTTGATCCTTGGAGGTCACAGACCCCTTGAAGACTCTCGTGACAGCTCTGGATCCCCTCCCCAGAAAATTACACGTTCACACTTAGTATACTCAGGATTGCACATGAGTGAAGCTCTTAAATCTTTCGAAACCTCAGTGTGGATGTCTCTGACCCACCAACACCAAATCTTCATTGTATCTTTATAGGTAAAGGGAAAGTTACTGTTTACTTGGTTCTTCACTGTTTGTGGACCTTGGGCTGGTTCATAAACAACATTTTGCAAATGAAGAATGTATTAAAATACTAGATACAATATTTTACACTATAAACAACAATTTTGCAAAGTGAAGAACGTATAAAATACTAGATATAGGTAACGTTTCATTGAGACTACTGTAGACTGGTACTCTCCTAAGTGCTTTCCATGTATAACGTACATAATCCTCACCCCAACCCTAATAGAGAAGATGTTGTCCTTGTTGTTGTTATCATTATTATTATTTTCTCTTTCTTTTAAGAAAAGAAAACTAAGGCACAGAGAGATTAAGGAATTACCTAAGATCATGTAGGTCATATGTAGTAGAGCCAAGATTTGAACCCAGATGTTCTGAGTAAAAAATCTATTCATTCACTGCTCTTCTGTATTGCCATGTAATACCAAAAAACCAAAACCATTATATAAAATGCCAAAGAGGGAAAATGAAGAATCCCTTTTGTGAATCAGATAGTTAGAGCAGCCTACAAAATGTTTACCCTAATCTTCTCCCCAAGGTTATTTGAAAATTAGGTATTCAAACTGACTTTTGAAACCCCCTGACCAAAACTTGTCCTTCTTCTAAAAGCTTGTTTACCAGATTCCTATGTTGGACCTTTAAACAGGGTTGAATTGATCTGTTCTCTTTCCAAAGTACAGTTTGCTCAGAAAGAATTTACATGGAAAGAGTGTGGTAGGCTTTATTATTTTCTGATACATAGGAATTTTCTCTCTTACCCTTGGAAACTTTCTGTTCAAGTAACATTTCATGTCATACTAATCAGAGAAAAATATTTAAGTCACATTTACAATGGCTATTCCCTTCCTGGTATAATCTGAATTATGTACTGCTTTGAGGTGGTGTCGGTGAGGGCCCTCCGCCTGTCCCCAAAACAGGGTTGTGTGACATCGCTCGTTTTGTTTTAGGTAGGTAATACAGATGCTTAATGTTAAAAGCCAAAAGATCCTCTAGGTTTTTGTTTTTACAATAAACAATCAAGCATTGTTCACTGAGTACTCTCTATGTGCTAGATGCTAGTATACAAAGAGGTAATGGTCCCTGCCCAGAATCTGGTATGCTATCATTACTTTCATTCATTCTGTAGTTACGGAGTTTTTGTTATATGCAAGCACCGTGCTAGGCAGTGTAGAAGATAGATTCACAAATGAGACAGAATTTCTGTCTTCAGGGATTTAAAAGCTTTAGAAAAGGAGAGGAAGACGTAAACAGCTAACAAAGAAGAATAACATGAGAGTACCAATAAAGAGCTGTGAAAATACCAGAGGACAGTCATTTTGAGTGGAGGGATCAGACAGTACTTCATAAAGAAGGTGGCATTTGAGCAGTGCCTTGACAGATAAGTGAGATTTCAGTGATGAGCAGAGAGAAAAAGAGTGTCGCAGGTGTAGAGAACAATGTGAACAAAAAAATGGGGTCAAAAAAGTAAGTACATGCCCAGGTAATAGAGAGAAGGCTGGTGTGGCTGAAGCATGGATTTCAGGAAATGATGGAGAGGGAGATAAATCCATAAAGTTAGGAAGAGGCCAGCTTGTGGGAGCCCCCAAGCGCATGACAAAACTTTTGGGAATTTTGGCAGTCATAGGGAGTCACTAAAGGTTCATGAGGTCAAGGCCAAATGAGAAGTTACATGTGGCATATATTAAATATCAAGTTCAGAAAGCAGTGACCAAAAAAAAAAAAGCAGTGACCATTAAGTAGCAATTACAGCATCGACAGGGAGGAGAAAGTTTTTTTATTGCAAGTCAGGTTAGTATGCACCAAGGTAGGGGGAGCAGGGGGACCAGGTCCCTTAGTCAACATCAACTCATGCTTGTGTGTATATTTTGAAATGTTTTCAATCTATAGGAAATAAAAAACAGAATAGTCGAATGCAGGCATACCCTTCAACTTATATTCACAAATGTAATACAAATGTAAAGAAGCATACGGTTAATAAAACCGAACAGAAAATGAACCCCTACAGGCAAAGGGAAGAGGTGTCTTTGTAGTTGTTTGAGTGTACAGCAGCGACCTTCCGTTCGAAATTAAACAAAGGAAATGGTCTAAAATAGGTGAGGTCATTAGTTACAGCTCACTGTAATGATCCCTCTAAGTTCTGATTTGTACATCGGAGTCTGTATGTTTTCGATCAATACCTCATGCTTTGTAGGTATACAACAGTAATAACTTAGCAAAAAATAAAAACAAATGAAAAGGATTTTGTAGTTAGTTCTTCTTGCCATGCATTTCTGTATTAACTTCTAGTTCATGCAGCTTGGGTTTTGTCAGAATTAACCCCTTCATGAAGTGGGGAAACTTCTGTCTTCTCTCAAAGGCAGTCGTGCATAGATAGCGTGGGCCAGCCAAGGACAGCTTCTATAAAAATTTGTCTTTGTAGTTGGTTACATTTCCTCTTTTTTCCCCTCCTGCCAGAACAGTTCAGAGGTTTTTATTAGGTTTGAATCTCAAAATTCTAGATTCTCTTTGTCATCTCAACTCTACACTCCAAGACTGATTTATGTTCCTAATATTTAGCATAGAATAGGCACCAGACTGGGAGTAAAGACTCAGTTAATACCTGTGTCGATACCTGGTGTCAATAAATAGTAAATATATCCTCCCAAAAGTTTTCCTTGGTGCATATAATACTATGTCCTGTGCCTGTGTATACAGAGAGTTTCATAGATGCTAAAATACATGGAGTACAATTAGCCACAACTGAATGTTTATAAAGGAGAATAAAAATGCTAAGATATGAACAAGCTTGTTAGGTTTGAGCTTTTTTTAAGTGTTGGCAGTTGATGGTAAGTATATAGTTCAGGTGAGTTTGAGGTCTTACTTAATCCCTTTAGGGTTATTTAAAACAACCTTACTTGAACCAAGGAGGTTTCAAACAAAGGTCTATTAAACTCTTTTTAAAGCAGGAATAACATGCACAACTGTTTTAAAATTCATGTCGCTGAGTGCTGCTGACTAGAGCGTTTACTTCAGTAACCTGTGGAAGTACCTGGATTGAATGCCATCTGGTGGGATTTCCTTGCCACTTCAAAGTTTAGACTATATTTTAAATCAGAGATAGAGCTGATACCAGCCTGGGTTACAAACCCTTATTACAAATAGCTGGTTGGTAATGTAAAGTCAGTCCTTGCTGCTATACTACGGTAACATTTCTAATGATAAATAGCATTTAGCTTTTTATTTGGTTTTCATCACCGATATAAAGTAGATGACCTGCTAACCCCCAAAATAAATATAAGGTTTCCCCTTCACTCCCATTTCATATTTAAGGAGGCCGTGGCAAGGAAAATAAGCCATGCCTATGTTACTGACTCAGAGCAGAAGAAACAAAGATTTAGGTGATTTGTCTATAACCAAACAACTTAACACACAAGTGCTAATGTAGACACCAAAATAGAAATTCAAAGGGAATTTGTCGAGATCTGGGTCCTGGAGAGTGGGGTCTTTTTCACTGGTCCAGAGCATTGTCGTCCAGCGGAACTTTCTGTACTGTTGGAAATCTACACCATCCAATTTGGTCGTCACTAGCCACAGGTGGCTGTTCAGCATTTGAAATGTGGCTAGGTAACTGATGAACTGGTGTTTTAATTTTGTTTTGTTTTAATGAACTTCATTTAAACAGCTCTATGTGGCTAGTAGCTACCAAATTAGATGGCACGAGTGCAAAGTAAGAAGAAGAAGGTGGGTTAGTATCCAAATCAGAACCAACAAGTTGGACCAGATAAATTTTCATGTTCTGGAAATGTCTGTATTTTGAATGACTGACTAGTAGCACTAGATAGTTGTGTGTGCTGTGTAACTGGCTCCTTCAGTTACTCTAATAAAAAGTTCAGGACAATACAGCTTCAAAGCTGCAATAGCTCTTATGGAGCATCAGTCAAGTCCTCTCACCCAGTCCATCTTCTGATCTGTGAGGCTTTTGAAACTCAGGTGTTTGTTTCCACCTTGTCACATTTCACTGAATCTTTGATCACTACTGCAGTTCTCCAGAGTAAGGGTTATAGGTAGTGACTCACATCCCTTCAGTATCACTATATATTTTTTGGTATTTACTATACTAGTTGGTTTTATTATCCAGTTTGGCATTTACTGCCTCCAAGGCAGCAGTTACACTGATCCTCATATGAGGTTCCCTTCTACCTCTCCAGGGTGACACTCAAAAGAATGAGAAGACACTGTCCTTTTATTCCCACCTTCATGTCACGGAAAGCAGATAATCGGAATTGTGTGATGGCTTTCTGTTGACAAGGTTGTAGCAATTAAGGATAGAGATAGTGTGTATTGCAACTTGTACAAAGTTTAAATTAATTGAAAGCAAGTTAAGAATAGAAAAACCAGAAGGAATAGGTATACTCATATTCTGTATCTATAAACCCACCACAGCTCTGGCTGTTGGACTGTGCACCACCCTGCAAACCAAAAGATTGCCAGTTTAATTCCCAGTCAGGGCACATGCCTGGGGTGCAGGCTAGGTCCCCAGTTGGGGGCCTGCAAGAGGCAACTGATTGTTTCACTTCCTCTCTTTCTTCCCCCCTCTCCCTCTCTCTGAAAAAATAAATAAATAATATCTTTTTTAAAAAGTGATAATATTTTTTTAAAAACCTGCCCCATTCGTTGTTGAAAACCTTGTACCCATACTAGTCACAACTATTACCGGGAGCTTGAAACTAGATTGAGAGCTGTGGCAAACTAGAAACTGTCCTACTCTGCAGTAAGACCTGTGCTCTGTGTACAAAAAAGAAATGCTGTCATACCGGGAAACTGGACTGATAAGGAGAATGAAGTGCTTTGTTTTCGGCTGGGGGTTAGCAGCATGTCGTTGAGTGGGATCACACTTCAGTGTCCTAATACCTGTTCTCCATGTCTCCTAGAAGACTGTAACTACAGCTTCTATGATTACCACAAAGACACTACCTCTCGTCTTGAAAGCAGCAACTGCGACCATGCCTGCCTCTGTTGTGGGCCAGAGACCTACCATTGCTATGGTGACCGCCATCAACAGCCAGAAGGCTGTGCTCAGCACTGATGTGCAGAACACACCAGTCAACCTGCAGACGTCTAGTAAGGTCACTGGGCCTGGGGCAGAGGCTGTCCAAATTGTGGCAAAAAACACAGTCACTCTGGTAAGCCACCAGCTGCTATTCATGTGTGTCCACATGAGAGGGTTCAGGGTATGTGTTTGTGGAGTATAGCCGTATTATGCTCCTGCTGGATTTTCCAGTCTCCGTCACTCTACCACACCAAAGTCCCCTTGGGGGCTGACTAGGGAATATAGCTTTCCTACCTTTTACTCAAATAACTGTCTAGGGTTCCTGGTACCAAAGACCAAGGCCCATTCAGTGCGTTATCTGAGGCCAAAGTTTGACTTGACTTGAGGGGGGAAAATGCCCTTCAGAGAGGCATATGCACTATTTCATGTATCTCTCCCTCCTCTCCACGGCCCTGCTTCACTTCCTGTGAAACGTGGGTGCCTAGACTCTGGTGCTCTGTTACCGATTTGGGGAAACTCCCTGCTGAACCCCTTTATTCACTGTCTCCTGAAATTGACTTCACCCAGGAAGTACCAGAGTTAGTGGGCACTTAGAAATATTCAAGAAACTCACAAATTAACAGTATCCATGCCCAACGTCTTTTAGAAAAAAGATCCCTTGAAGGAAGAAGTACTTGAACAAAATTGTATGTGAGATTTTTAGGATAAACCATTTAGAAACTGATATTCTCAGAGTCTTGGGGAAGGGTATCCAAATATTTGTTTAAAAATTTGCTTCTAAAATGGCAGCTGAGAGTTCTTGGTGGCTTTTGAATGATGACCAGTGATGAGTAAAACTAGAGAGCAATGAAGTGAAGCTTCACCACTTGGCGGGGGCGGGGGGGGAAACCAGGAATCTTTACAGAAGCAACCAGAGAACTCGGCCAGATACTGAGAGTTAGAAAATCCTCTATAGGAATAAAGCCATTCACCATCAGATTAAGCTCTAATGGTAGGAAAGGGCCCATTTGGCCCGGCAGCAAGTTGATTTTACTTTGGATCCAGTCTTGACTTTTAAAATACATAAGCGCAGGAGTTCTGAGTGTCAAAGGAGATTGTCTAAGTTGCTGAGCCTGCAGGTATGTGAGGGAACAAATGCGACTGGTTCACTCTGCGGGATAAAGTAATGCAGGTGGGAGAGTGAAGCAGTTTCTTAAGGCATGCTAATTCAGCTGATTAATTCTGTAGTGAAAGCTTGTAGAAAATATTGTGTGATCCAGAGAACAATGATGCTGGAATTACTTTAAGAATATCTAGCTTTGATGTTGAACATTTATTGTCATCTCTGGTTTATTTATCTTTCTTGTTTTTTAGCAGGTTCAGGCAACACCTCCTCAACCCATCAAAGTACCACAGTTTATCCCTCCTCCTAGACTCACTCCGCGTCCAAACTTTCTTCCACAGGTGGGTACGCCAGTGACAAGCCCAGCCAGGGCTCGGTGGGCCGGAAATCCTCATGGGCCCTTTCTGCGCAGCCTGTAACGCTCTTGTCAGCTCAGCTGTATTCAGATCCCGCTTAACTAAAGACTCCAGCTACTGATTTCTGTGCCGTGATGAAGCTGACTTTATCATCAGGGTTTCTTAGCAGTGACTGATGGCAGTAGCAGGAGGATGTGAGGACAGGATAATTTCCTAAATGTAAAAGATTAAGATAACACCATTTTAAACCTTATAATGTTAACTTACTGGAAGAAGTTAGCCAAAACCTACCTGCCAGTGGGAAAGGAATATAAATACCACTTTTTATTCAGTTTTTCCTATATGTCAGAGAGAGCAGGGAAGGAAACAACAGCCAAACTATCCAGTAGAAGCCAGTCAGTTCTGCTCCGGGAAGTGACAGCTAGTCTCATACCTAAACACGAAGCCTTGCTTATGAAGATTTCGACTTGGGTCTGCACAGGGAACCTTCTGTGTAGGCCCAAGCAGCACGGCTTGCCCACATTCTACTGAGAGTATTTTTCCGGCAGTTGGGCTGAGTTCACCCTTCTCCTGGCAGAATGTCAGCGTTGTCCCAGTCTGGGTTTTAAGGGGAGTTGATTTGCCTGGTACAAAGGCTGGTGATTCCTGTCCGAGGCCTCAGGTTTCAGGCAAATAGGGAAGAAAAAGGAATTTTGTGGTCAGTGGCCGTAAGTGATTTCTAAACTGCCTATGTGATTTTAATCATTTATCAGATAAATTCTTAATAAATACCTTGTGCTTCAAAGACGGCACTAAGCCCTGTGGATACTTAGTGCTTAGCAGGACAGACTATTCCCTGCCCTCAGAGAGCTTCAGACACATGGACAGGCAACTACACTGTCCACTCTGGGAAGGACAGGGCAGTCTGTGGTCATTTTAAAGAGTATTACAGAACATTTCCATGAAGACTTGACATTCTATCTGAGATCAAAATTCCGGTAAAATTAGCCTGGTAAAGTTTTGGGGGAAGAATAAAAATGCTTCAGGCAGAGGGCAAAACATATACTTAAGTCAGGGTTGGAGAAATGCACGTAAGCTTGAGGAACCAGACAAGATTTGGCGCGGCCAAGCGCAGGGGGCCATGTGGCTGACTCAGGCTGGAGGAGCCCACGGGCCAGAGCTGGTGGGGCATCATGGGCTACATAGGAATTCGGGCCTTTTCCCAGGAACGAGGGGAGCCATGAAAGCATTTAGAGACAAGTACTTGGTATGATCAGATTTTCATTTTAGAAAATTCCTTCTTTCCACTGTGTGGAGAATAGATTAGAGGTTGTCAAGACTGTAGGGGGGAAAAACAGTTAAGATATTGTCAACAATAATAATAGCTACAGTTTAGAGGATCTTGCGATGTGTTACTCCCTGTGTAGGAGCTTTACATGGGTTATCTGTTTTAATTCTTACAATAATCCTAGAAAGTAGGTATTGCTCTTTTTTAAGTGGTGGGTCATGACCCATTAGTCAGCTGTGAAATCAATCTAGTGAATTATAAGCAGAGTTCTTAAATAAAATGAACAAAACATAGTAGGAACCACTAGAGCACATAGCGCATAAGTATTATTTCATGTAGTTTTTATTTTATAGAGATGGAGATAGATGTCTGTGTGTGTGTACTGGTGACAGCGTGAAACGTATTTCCTACTGTGTGTCTGCAGCACCCACCAAAGGGGCACCTGAAGTTTAGCCAGTCAGCTCACACTTGGCACTAGCCTACTTAGAACGATACAGGGTAGAAACCAGAAGTTGCCAGCTTTTGCTCAGCTGAGATGCTTTTCTTGCATGGGAGTGAGTCCCTGCAGGAGCCCACAGGGTGGTCTCTACAGCTGCCCAGGGATAGCTCAGGTGCAGGGAGACTGGGACAGTGGGAGAGCCACTCTGGCATAGAAGCCTTTTGCCTCACAGAAGCCATATCCTATAACAAATCCATAGGCATGGCTTTCAAGGTCCCCAGTGGACATGCCCAGTTATGGGTCACCCACCTTGGAAAACGCAAAGTATGATGTCCCATCCAGTGTTTATGAATCTCTCCATTCACAATAAAGAGTCGTTTTTACTATAAGTAATGTTGCTTGGTAACATAGTTAACATTGTTACCTTTATCAGGTTTCCAGGAGAACAGAGCTGGAGAGTTAACTGAAAGTCAAACTCTAATGTATAAGGGGAAGGATTTTGCCCAGGGAGGAGGGGGTCATAGTTTTAAAAGTTGGAGAAATACTGGCTTAAAGAGATCAGGTATGTTGCCTTAGGTTATACAGCCGAGTGGTAGAATTAGGACTTGAACTCAGGCAAGGCTGACCCCATGTTTTTAATCACAGTTTTCTGTCATTGTTTCAGTACGCCGAACCTAGGGTGAAGTGGTGGCAGTGCAGACGGAAAGCAGGACATGTTTGAGAAGGATTTAGGAAGTAGAGTGGGAAGCATCAAGAATCATATTTAGGAAGGGAAAGACCATTTACTGAGGCGATGATTATAGGAAGAGGAGAGGGTTGGAAGAAGAAATTAGAGAGTTCTAGACATGTTGACTTTAACTTCTTGTGAGATTTCCAAGTAGAGATGTCTAACGGGCAGTTGAATGCGATTCTGAAATTTAGGGAATGTCTGGTCCTAAGCTACGAGTGTGGAAGTCTTCAGTGCACAGATGGTAATTGAAGCCAGAGGTGGATGCTAGGTCCCAGGAGGAGTGAGGACACTGGGGAGAAAAGGGGTCCCAGGACAGGATCCTGAGAAATACCTACATTCAGTATGGGACAGAGGAAGAGGAAACCCACAGGGAGACGGAGAGAAGGAGTGGCCAAGATGGGGAGTTTAAGGGGCACAAATACAGGTGAACTGAGGCTGTGGATGGGAAGAAGTTCAGAGTGTGAATTAAGGCCGTTGGCAGCACTGTTACCATACTCTGGGCACAAGTTCTGGGTGGAACCAGTCTCTGGATCGGGTATTCGACCTCAGCCTGGCAGAGGCCACATGATGTGATGGAGGGATCTAGGTCCAGAATCAGAGGAACTGCGTTCTAGGGTAACATTTGGAGCCTCCTAAGAGCTGATGAGTATTTGATAAAATTATATCTCTTAAGACCTATAGAAATAATAAAACTAAAGTGAGTATTAATATTTGTACTAAATAACATCTCACATACGTAGTGTGGAAGATCTGACAATAACTTAGACTTACAGGAAGTTTCTTTAAGTAATACGATAATTGTTCTCTCTTTCCCCATAGGTTCGACCCAAGCCTGTGGCCCAGAATAACATTCCTATTGCCCCAGCACCTCCTCCCATGCTTGCAGCTCCTCAACTTATCCAGAGGCCTGTTATGCTGACCAAGTTTACCCCCACGACCCTCCCTACCTCCCAGAATTCCATCCACCCCGTCCGTGTCGTCAATGGGCAGACTGCAACCATAGCCAAAACGTTCCCCATGGCCCAGCTCACCAGCATTGTGATAGCTACTCCAGGGACCAGACTCGCTGGACCTCAAACTGTACAGCTTAGCAAGCCAAGCCTTGAAAAACAGGTACTGGCAAGAGTATGCACCTGCTTTGAGCAGTAGCCTCGCCGTTGCGGCTGGGCTGTCTCTAAATACATCTTCTCAGGGGCTCTCTATCTCAGTACCATTATTAATTACCTGTTGCTTATTGCGTGATAAGTTATTCAAAATGCAGAAGGGCCGTTCTTACTGAAGAAAGTTGGGTTGCTTTTTTCATTATCCCCTTATGCATAGGTGGATTCAGAGTCCTGTGTGAGTGAGCTCCCCCTGCTGATTCCGAAGCAGGAATTCACAGATGGGTTCTGCTACCCCCAGTCAGGAAGCACAGAAAATGCCGTGTTCGCTTCTGCCCAGTAAGAATCCAAATGAGGATAGAACTCTGAAAGTCAGGAAGAATAAACAAAAGAAGGAAAGGGATTTCACCTTAAAGATTTTCCCTGGTTATTACAAATAATGAAGAGTCAAATGAAAAAAATTAAAATTTCTAAAAAGCTTTCTTTTAATTCTAGAGAATACTGACATTTTAGTTGAAATATTGAAGCCTTTATTTATATTTCTAAAAGCAGGTGTTTCTTTAAAAACATGAGGCTAGAGAAATACAAGTAATCTCCAAAAATACTTAAGGGTTCTATGACAGAAAGACTTCTAAAAACATAAGAAAGGATATATAGGTAGTCACCATATATTCTTTTTAAAGAAACACAGCAACAAAAAAGAATTTTGCGCAGAAAAGCACCCTCTTTCAGAGAGTTGCTTTAAAAAGTCATTGACCTACTTCTAATTGCTCAGGCTTGAGTCCTCATTCATCTGAAAATAGTCTGGTGATCCTGAATCTTTTGCTGCTGGATGGCTGACTGTGATTCAGAAAGGCTGGCCAGACGGTGGGGAATGAGAAGGCTTTCTGCTGCCTTGGCCTCCTTGAACAGAGGGACCTTATGCACAGAGCACCTGGCTTTCTACCCGGGCAGCTCATAAGTGCAGCCGGCCTTTCACTGAGAAGCTGGGTACCAAAATCTCATGCTCAGACCACACAAGAGAGAGCACATCTCTGTTCCCTGGGAGCCCGCTCACACCCCAGGAAATGCTTTGGGGAGCATTCAAAAATAAATTACACATATTTTAGGTCAGAAGTTTTCTAATTTATTTTCAGCAGAACTTCAGTATTAAAATATTGAATGCGGAATGCCCAAGCTTAGGAGTTTGGGTAGAAGCATGTTTGAAGATTGTCTGCCCTTGTGTTCTGGGGTGGCTGTCAGAGTTCTGCTGAGGACCTTCAGAATGACAAAGAGTGTGGCTTCAAAACACTGTCTCCGATCGCTCAGTGTCATTTCTCTTTGACCTCTTTTTTGATATTTTTAGTAGACAAGAGTTTTTTCAGTTTTATCTTATTTTTACACTTCTCGGGGTTTTTCTGATTACAAAGATAATATATATTCACTGTAAAAGAAAAATTTAAACATTACAGAAATATACATTGTAGAAAATGCATTCCCCCCATAATCTATGAGTACCAAAAGAATAAAATTTCCACAAATTTAACCCACCCCAAATTACTATTAACAGTATAGGTTCTATTCCTCCACATATTTTCTGTGTGTATTCTATCACTTTTAAAGCAAAAAAAAAATCAGTATATATTATTTTTAACTTGCTCTTTTTAATTTTAATATCTTTTTAATACCCATGAATTCTTAAGAATAATATTTTCCACTGGTAAATTCTGTGGTCTCTCTTCTTGTTGACCTAGTAGAGGAATCCAGTCATTGCTGTTTCAGTCGAGTCGTCTCCCTGGTGAACAGTTGTCCAGGTTAGCTGACCAGGCTCGGGAAGGGCTGTCAGCAAGGTTGCCAGCAAGGATCCTCTTTAGACCGGACTCCGTTCTCAACGTTCCCTTCGGATTTTTCTACTGTTCTTCCTTTCTCCTTCACATTCAGTTTCCAATATCACATATATAGTCTTTTTTTAAAAATGTATTTTATTGATTATGTCATTACAGTTGTTATATTCCCCCCCTTCATTCCCCTCCACCCTGCACACCCCCTCTCCCACCATTCCCCTTCTTTAGTTTATGACCACGTGTCTCAAGTTCTTTAGATTCTATATTTCCCATACTATTCTTGCCCTCCCCCCTATCTATTTTCTACCTACCATCTATGCTACTTATTTTCTATACCTTCTCCCCCCTTCTCCTTCTCCAACTCCCCTGTTGCTAACCCTCCATGTGATCTTCATTTCTATGGTTCTGCTCCTGATCTAGCTGTCCTCTTAGTTTGCTTTTGTTTTAGGTGTGGTTGTTAATAACTGGGTTTGCTGTCCTTTCACTGTTCATATTTTTTTATCTTCTTTTTCTTAGATAAGTTCCTTTAACATTTTATATAATAAGGGCTTGGTGATGATGAACTCCTTGAATTTGGTCTTATCTGAGAAGCACTTTATCTGCCCTTCCATTCTAAATGAAAGCTTTGCTGGATAGATCAATCTTGGTTGTAGGTCTTCGGATTTCATGACTTGGAATACCTCTTTCTAGCCCCTTCTTGCCTGTAAGGTCTCTTTTGAGAAATCCACTGACAGGCTGATGGGAACTCCTTTGTAGGTGACTGTCCCCTTATCTCTTGCTGCTTCTAGGATTCTCTCCTTCATTTTAATCTTGGCTAATGTAATTATGATGTGCCTTGGTGTGTTCCTTCTTGGGTCCAACTACTTTGGGACTCTCTGAGCTTCCTGGATTTCCTGGAAGTCTATTTCCTTTGCCAGATTGGGGAAGTTCTCCTTTATTATTTGTTCAAATAAGTGTTCCACTGGTTTGTTCCTCATCCCCTTCTGGTACCCCTATAATGTGGATGTTGGAACATTTAAAGATGTCCTGGATGTTCCTTAGCCTCTCCTCATTTTTTTTGAATTCTTGTTTCTTCATTCTTTTCTGTTTGGTTGTTTCTTTCTTCCTTCTGGTCCACTCCCTTGATCTGAGTCCCAGTTTCCTTTCCATTACTATTGGTGTCCTGTGCATTTCCCTTCACTTCAATTAGTTTAGCCTTCATATGTTCCTCTAATTTGTGACTAAAATCAACCAGTTCTGTGAGCATCCTGATCACCAGTGTTTTGAACTGTGCATCTGAAAGTTTGGCTATTTCTTGTTTGCTTAGAGTTATAGGCTCTGGGGCTTTGAGTTCTTCTTGAGCCATAATGTTTTGCTCTGTTTGCACCTGTTATGTATGAGAAGCGGAGCCTTAGATGTTCACTAGGGCAGGGCCACCCAGGTCACTGTTTTGTGATGCTGTATGTGGGGGCGTGGTCAGAGAGGGACAATAGCGGTCCCTTCTGCTGCTTCCTGCTGCTGGGGCCTGCATGGTCCTGTCTCACTGCTCTCTCCTTCGCCGGTTTATCTGTGCGAGAATGTGTGACCATGGTCAGCCCTCAGTGGGTCTGCCCACTGCTACTCCACACCTGGGATCTACCCACAGCTGCTGGTGCACCTGGGTCGCGTGCCCAGGTCGGTCTGGTGGATCTTTCCTGCCGACCCCACTCTGCTGCTTGCTCTGCCCCTCTTACTGGTTTGGCTGAAGGGTTCGTTGTTGTCAGACTTCTGTATAGTTCAATTTTCTGTGGTTTGGCTGCATTTTTGTTGCTCAAACTTTGTTGTTTTTAAACTTGGTTGTGTGAGAAGGCACAATGTTTCCACCTACGCCTCCATCTTGGCAGAAGTCCTCTCAGTATCACATATGTAGTCTCTAAGGGCTGGAGTGAAGCATGTAAATACAGGGTGGGTCAAAAGTAGGTTTACAGTTGTGAATACATGAAACAGTTTATTCTTTCATTATTTATTAATTAATGTATTATTTTCCATATGGACAACTACAGACCCACTTTTGCCTCACCCTGTATTGTATCCATGAAGTACCACTTAGAGCCTGCTTACAGAGTTACCCACCTGTTCCCAGCGCTCTCTGTGACCAGGCTATGTGGGTCCTTTCTGCTTTCTGCTGTTCCTTTAGGGTGAAAACATTTATTTCGTAAAAATATGCTCATGTGCCAGCTGCTATGCCACACGTGGTATCTCAGTACAAAGGTAAATAAACCAAAGGCTTTGCTTTCAGAGAGCGTAATCTCTAGTGCATTTGGAGCTGGCATAGAGAGGCGCCTCCCCAGGGGAGGAAGCCTGCAAGTTGTGCAGAGTCAAAGACCCTTCACCTTGGCGAAGGAAAGGGAGAAGACAGTGTTCATTAGAACAACGGTGTTCTCGCTTCTTCCTCTGCCAGGGATCATCAGCTTCCTTATCCACCCTTGACTTAGCCCTTATTAGAAGCCACATTATATCGTGACTCTGAAAAAATGAGTGGTAGAATGGAGAGCTCTGAGACTAGAAATATACTTTAGGGAGAAAAGTAGATGAATCCAAACTTATATCATAGGCCCTGCAGTACCATCTTTATGTCCTTATCCTGTCTAGCACCTAGGAAATGGGGCTAAACACCTGTTGATGATGGAATGAGATAAAGTGTTGAGTCCATTAGACTGTGTCTGACCCAGTTAGTTCACAGGGATTATGTTTGTTTCTGTGCAACAAAGACCTCTGTGTATGCCCGAAATCTCAGCTACTGAAAAAAAAAAAAAAAAACAACCCAGGTTTTATGGCAAAAACTGCCAGATTGCCACCATTCCCATACTTCCGTATACAAGGTCTGTCCAGAGGGAATCCAGCCATGTAATATAAAAAATAGAGATGTTCATTGAAGAAGGTACAAGACAGAAGAAACAGTGTACATAGAATAATGATGCCTCAATCCCCTTCAAAGTAGGCACCTTGGGACCTCACGGAGTTCTCTCAATCACTGTCAGCTTCCCTGACATATTTTTCTGAATCTCATCTATAGTCTAATATCTCTTCCCCTTCAAAGGTGACTTTAGTTTTAGAAGAAGCTGGAAGTTGCAGGGTGCCAAATCTGGGCTATAGGGGGACCGAGTCACCTGGGTGATTTGATGTCACACCAGAAAAATTCCTTCAAGAGGTGATGCATAAGCAGGTGCATTGTCATGAGCAGGTGTATTGTGATGAAGCTGCCAATCACCAGTTGCCCCTAGCTCTGGCCTTTAGAATCCTCTGAATAGATTCTGCTGAGGAATGTTTAGGCTTACTGCAAAATTTGATGCAGATTCATTGCTCTGCTCACTCAGTCATTTTGAATGCAATGGCCACCCACTATACATGCTCACTGGATGGTGTCTATCAACCCCACTGACTAGTCCAGTGAAGTCATTGTTCACACATGCACACTCCAGTCCACTCTCCTTGGCTGCCACCTTACATGGATGTTGTGCAAACCATTCTTGTTATATTAACAATGGCTGGACTTTTTCTGGAAAGACCTCATATGTCTTGCATAGAAACCTACACAGTATCCTCTAAAAAAGGAATACTTTCAAGATGAGAATATTATCTGATGTGTTACCCTCGAATCCCGGTCTTGCCCTCTTAGTAAACTAGAGCTGGTGACCCTGCCTTGCATTTTTATCACTGTCATAGGGAAAACAGATCCAAGTGACCAAACAATGGATTTTGCTTTGCCTTCAATTCAAATTTATTTAACCTTAATCGATGGAACTATTTGGACATTTATTTATTTGCTAGTTCCTGACTTTGATTATTCATGCAGCCAAGTCTCAGAAGGTAAATTTGGAATTAAGGGCATGAAATGGTTAACTTAGTTCTAGTCTTATCCAGAGTTTTTTATTTCTATCTTCATAATATAAGAAAGAACAGGATTTACAAATTTAAATAGCCATGGGTGTGAAGCGAGAAACATAAATGAGTAAAGTAGGCTGGAATTTTTGTTTTTTCTTTTTTGTTGTTGTTGAAATATTTATTCTGATACTTCTATTCAGTTGTACAACTTATTTAGTGCACATTATCAGATTAATCTGACATTCTTCAGGACTGAGATTTACTGATGACTTCAAATTTGGAATCTTCGAATTTGAAGCCAAGGAATGCATTCATGGCTGCTTTACCATTTGTTTAAGCATAGAAAGCTCTCTCTCATCCTGGCTGATGTGGCTCAGTTGGTTGGAGTGTCATCCTGTCTCTGAGAGGTTGTGGGTTTGATTCCTGGTCACAGCACAGACCTGGTTGCGAGTTTGATCTCCAGTCTGGGCGCATTCAGGAGGTAACCAGTCGCTGCTTCTCTCTTGCATCAATGTTTCTGTCTGTGCCTTCCTTTTTTTTTGAAAAGCAAAGAAAAAAATGTCCTTGGGTTAGGATTAAAAACCAAAATCAAAGGCCAGTCCCCAACAAAGGTTTAAAGAAAAAAGCTTCCTCTCCAACCCTTTGGGCTAGTATCAACAGATCTTCCAGGGGCCAGTTGCTTAGTTCTGCGGTGTCTGATCTTGTCCACAAAGAGTCTCTGTACCGGTTCCTTGTTCCTTGTTCGTGTCCTGGCTGTCACACCAGTGTTCCTCCTCATGAGGGCTGGGACCGAGGACTGACTGGCATGAGAGCCCGAGCAGCCTCCCAGGAACCGCGGCAGCTGCTCTGGGCAGGAAGCCTCTCAGAGACAGTCTGCTGTTTTTCCACTTTTAATGGGAATGTGAGTACAAGAAATACTCCACTCTTATTCTTAATTCCTCTTTGAAGTAGTAAGACAAGCATGATACAGCTGACCATGTGGCCCTGGTGTGGAGGAGACCGCAGAAATCGGGAGAGGCTGTGGTAAACTGCCAGGTAATGCTCCATCTCCAAGGAGTGGCTACTTCTTGACCACAGCCAATTTTTATCACATGGGAACTTTTTAAAGAAAAGCCAAAATCCAGATATTTTGAGAAATTGCCTGGTTTTTAAAATACTAGTAAATATTTAAACACCATGCAGGCAAAAAAAAATACCTGCAGGGAATTCACCTCTGGATGAGGGTTTATAATCTCTGATGGAGACTGGACTTTTAGCTATATCCATTTTGTTTGTTTCCCAACTTAATTTGCTAAATTGAGGTGAAATTCACATCACATAAAATTAACAAGGTGGAAGTGAGTAATTTTAAGCAAAATGACATATCATGAAACCAATTTGTACCATAGGCTAGTTGATATGATATACATTAGGAGCTTGTTTATATCAATTAGCCTGTAGTAAAATTGGTTAAAGTCATGGTTTCCAAGAACCTATTGACAACATTAAGTGAAGCCTAATTGTACACATTTAGATGCTTCCACCTGATGTCATCTGTCAAGTCACTCCGGCCTACGGTGGACAAAACAAAGGTCGGCCTCTGTATTGGTCCTCAGGAAACCACCAAACAGGTCAAAACGTGCAGCCGCAGGTTTTTGAGAATGAGGCCCATGTTGCCCCCCTGGCACCATCCAGTCACACCCGGAACACGGGTTGCCGTCCCCACGGCCTCGGCCCAGCTGGGGAACGGGGTTTTGTAAGGACGGGTAAGGAAGAATGTTTTCTTAGTGAAATGTAGCAAGCAGCCCTTTTGTAAGTGCCCCCCTAGTTGCGGTAAGTTTTTTATTGGATTCCAGAGTTCTTAGGAGTTGATTATGTTTTTGCCAGCTTAATAGTTGCTTTAGTAAAGGATCGGTCCTTAGAGTCCCCTGTTTTTCTATTTCTGTGATGTCATTCTCTGACCCTAATGGCTTTTATTTGTTTTAAAGCGCTTAAAACAGCAAACAGTCATCATGTCACACAGTTTTTGAGGGTCAGGAATCAGGTTGCATCTTAGCTGGGTGGTTCTGGCTCATGGTCCCTCGGAAGTTTGCGTTCAAACTAGTTGGCCAGGGCTGTCATGTCAAAGGCTCAACTGGAGCTGGAAAATCCACTTCCAGTCTCAGGCTCATGGTTGTTGGCTGGAGGCTCAGTTCCTCACCACGTGGGTCTCTCCACAGGCCAGGTCACAGCACGGCAGCTGGCCTCCCGCAGATGAGAGGTCCGTGAGAGAAACATACCTCCCCAGTGTTTTGGGGATTCTTTTTAATGTTTTCTATCCATCCCTGACACAATTGTATTCTTGTGCATGAAAGAGAGAATTTGAACCCTGGGTAATTCCTTAGTGGAGAGGAGTTGGTTTGTCCTGGGCTTTGCTCAGCCTTAAAGACTGAAGTGACTGCAGGGGACTTCATGCAGCCTGGAGTGGAGCAGCAAGCCCTGTGGTTGACCTTGTCGTCTCCCTCCTCCCTCAGACTCCTGTGCTTCCACGTTAACAGAGCTATGGAAATCAGCTTTCTGGGCACCCAAGACCTTGATAATGTCATCACAAACTGTTCTCCCATGTGTTCCCTTGTAGGTGTGTTTGGTGGTTTGTTTATGGAGTAAATGTGTCCTTTTTGGTTCAGAAATGTGTGTGGTGTGAGAGAGGAGACACAAGTGATCGTCCTTGTAGGTGGCATTCCCCACTCAGAAATTCAGCCTTTCTGTACAGCATGTTCACCGTGTACCTGCTGCACGCGAGGCACTGCACCAGGCGCAAAGGGGAGCAGAAGTGCACAGAACAGTCGCTGCTGTTAAGCAGGTTACAGTGCAGAGGAGGAAACAGGACACGACACTGGTTTAAAAAAAAGGCAGCATTTTTACCCCAAAACAGACACTTATACTTTTCTAAAGTAACATGAGAAACTAGGAAAACATGGAAGCAGCCAGGAAAGAACGTGAAAGAGCTTTGCGGTTGAGTTAGTTTTTCAGCTCTAGTGAAATATTTCTCAACATAATAATGATTTCTGAGAACTTCTGATGTCTTGCCTGTAGGACCCGAGTCTTTGTATTTGGCTCCTGCTCATCAATAATCAGTTCCATTCTCACTTATTTAATTACTTGTTGCTTTACAAAGGGACTATTGGCATCTGCTTTTCTGATTTTGAAAAGGTAAATTAGGTTCCTGTTTAGTTTTATATCCACTATCCTAGCATCATTTCAGTATTTACAGAGGGCTTCATAAAATGAATTATCCTCTGGGTCATGATAAGAATAGTGATGCAAGCCCAATCTGTCAATTTGCCGGCTGCCATTGGTATTGAAGATGATAATGCTGCTGGTGTTTCTTCTGTTTGGTGTCTGGAAGACAAGGTTGCAGGTAATCAGGATGTCAGCCTCTTGCAAGATGACCTTCCCTGCCTATTGCATCTCTCTAATGGATGATGCAGGCAGGTTTTAAACAGCCCAAGTGAGGGTAGTCCTGCGGCCTCTTTTAGATTGCGATTATGATTAGAAGAGTGTGAATGTAAGATTTTTTTACATTAGTCACATCTGAAGCACACGGTGGACTTGCAGCTTGACCCATGTGTAACGAGAGTGGGTTTGCTTTTGGAAAACTGCCCCTACATTCTAAAATGTGTTAAAATCAGAGCTGCCTATATTTTATTTGTGTACATAGGAATTAAACCAGGGGTTTCTTTTTGTATAACTTAAACTATTTACAGATTCATATTTACTCTAGTTATATAATTCAACCACTTCAACTGGGGCCTTACATCTTATACGGCCTTACCTGCTTTATTTACTGTGCTTCTTTTGGTGTTTTTTTTACTTTTTTTTTAGTCTTTTAATGAAAAGTGAGTTCTGAATTTTCATTTAATTTTTCTCTCCTAGACAATTAAGTCTCACACAGAAGCAGATGAGAAGCAAGCAGAGAGCCGCACCGTCACTCCACCTGCTGCGCCCAAGCCCAAACGGGAGGAGAACCCGCAGGTAGGCCCAGCCCTCCAAAGGTCGGCTCAGTCTAGGGGTGTGGCTTTTCCTCACATGCCAGGAGGGGCACTTGCTCCTGAATCACTTTCTTTGTCTTGTCTTTTGCTTCTCACTGTTCAGTAATGTCACTGCCAAGTCACACAGGCCTAGGGCAGACTAAGAGTGTGGCCTTGAGTATCGATGAGCTGGCCTACAGGCTTTTCATGCACATGCTACAAATTTGAAATGTAAAATTAGTGATGATTTTCCCAGATAACCCATTGCGTTTCTAATGATGATTATGTTTTATTTGTCTCAGCCTACATATATAAGGTGTTCAGTTCATTCAGCAAAGGTCTGTTTGTATTATCGATTACAGTTGTTGCATGTGCTTTTTGTTATTGCTGTTGTATTGCACTGGATTCTCCAATCCCAGATGAACCAGTAGCTGAAAGGTAGTTCATTGATGCATAAAAGTAGGAATGAAAATAGTAACATCTGTACCACAATTTAGGATAGAATTATAAACTAAAATAGCAAATGAGACTCTGGTACAAACGTAGAATGTGAATTAAATGTCCTTAGACAGGAGCATTTTTAAGTGTGATCATTTTGCATAAGCATAAAAGAAAAATCAGGTGATCTGATGATGAGTGTCGGTGGCGGGATTTCCTTAGACCGGCAGCCCACTGCCCCCTCTCCTCAGCACTTCTCCGTGGGGCGGCCCTGTCACAGTGGCAGGAGGCCATCGCAGCTGCGTGTGCTTTTCCAAAAACAAAACAAAACAGTGATTTATTAAGCCAGTGAAGGTTTTTCTAAAACAAGTACAAATTATAGTTCTTTACGATATGGAATGGATTAATTTTTTAAAGATTTTATTTATTTATTTTTGAGAGATGGGGCAGGGAGGCAGAAAGAGAGGGAGAGAAACTTCAATGTGTGGTTGCCTCTAGCACACCCCATACTGGGAACTGGCCTGCAACTCAGGCATGTGCCCTGACTGGGAATCAAACCGGCAATGCTTTGGTTTGCAGGCCGGTGCTCAGTCCACTGAGCTACACCAGCCAGGACTGGAATGGATTAATTTTTAATTTATCTTAAAGGAGGGACTAAAACTTGAACAAAAAGAAGAACTGGTCATGCAGATTGCTGAGAAACTTGTAAAATCATCCATAAAGTTAATAATAAGTATGCTTGGAGGAAAAAAATAGAGCAAGCTGTCAGCAAGATTCCCTCCCATCTAAGGGAGGAAACTGAGGAAGTCTCATGTCAGTGGCACTGTGGCGAGCAGACACCGCCAGCCCGAGCAGCAGCAGGCGTTTCCCCTCTCGCTGGGCAGGACCACTGCCGTAACGAGAGCCAACTAGCCCTTGGCCTGCGCGTGATAACACAGATGGGGCAGAAGTTCCCAACAGCTTTTTGTTTTGTTTATCACTGAAAATCTGTTCCCCAAAAGAAGACTTCTTTTTTTTCATTTAGTGATTCTTTGTGACCTCCTGATCCAGACTGGCAAAGATGAGCTGGATGTGAAGGCCAAGAAGGGCGCTGTCACTCAATTAAAGCAAGTGCATCTGAGTGTCAGTCCTCACACTGCTTCGTTAACGGAGGACAGTTGGTAGACAGTCTTCTAATCTTGATTAAGTTTTGAGTGAATAGCGGAAATTAGGAATGTAGTTATTTGGCAACCATAAAATGTATGGCATTTCAATGCGCAGAGCAGAAAATGAGCAGCGTTCAACAGTGCTTTTTTTTTTGCGCAAAACACTCTGGCTGTCGGGGGAGAGGTGCCCACCTAAGGTTGGAATAAGAAATAAAATAAAAACATTTCTTCTGCCCTGGCTGCTGAGGCTTAGTAGATTGAGTGACAACCTGAGAGCCAAAGGGTTGCTGGTTCAATTCCCAGTCAGGCACATGTCTGGATTGTAGGCCAAGTCCCCAGTAGGGGGCACGTGAGAGACAACCCCCACATTGATGTTTCTCTACCTCTCTTTCTCTTTCCCATCCCCTTGGTCTAAAAATAAATAAATAACATCTTAAAAGAAAAATAAGAGGGGGGAAAATATTTCTTTAGGAATCTGAGGATGTCAGTAAAGGGCATTTTTATGTTCTCTAGTGGCTTACTCAGGGACTGTGTCTCATAAAACTCTGTCTTGAGTAGCCTGAACCTCTCACATTAGGCCAAAATACCATGATATTTAATGTCAAGAATGAAATATCAGGATTTTTTGAGACCAAAGTATGGTAAAAATAATTCTGTAAGAGTTTGTCTCCCAGCAATTAATGATGTTCTTCATTCAGCAGCATGAGGAACTGGTGATGCATTATTTGGCGTACCTAGGAACCATAGGCATTGTGCAGTGGGAAGGGAAGGCCTGTTTTCCCGGCCACATGCAACCAGACAGCAAAGTAGGCGCCAGTCTGTTGCTGTCTCCAGCTTTAAGCATCTGATGTTTCAGCTTTGGGGTGCAGTATCCTAGTCAATCTAGTCAGACAGTGCTTGTAATTTTTAGTCCTGTATTTGAATGAAAAGCCATAGTATTAAGCAGAGCCACCTGCTATCATTCCTGAAACTCATTAGCTTTGAGTTCGCATTGTCCAGTCAGTGGTAGCAGAAATGTAAGAAACTGTGACTTACCACGACAAGTGCACTACATGGATTTTGAGCTTGTTGTGTGGGAGGCTCTGCATGTTTTTCAAATAGGAAATCCTCTCCAAAGAGGATTTTTTTGGGGGGTGAAAAAACTTTTATTACTCAAGATGCTGATTTCTGTCGTTGAGAAAGTAGGTGCACGCCCTCGTCCTTCTGGTTTCTTGTAAGACAAGAAAGCTCCGGGGTGGCTCCGTAGCATATAAGAGTGGAGCCTGTTTTGCTCTTTGTCCACCTGAACTTGGCCTCCTTTAGCCATCAGCCTGTTGGGCCGCCTTCCCCTAGGACCCTAACTAGGAGCATGCAGTTGGCTTTGTGAAAACCCAAACTGAAGCATATTCATCTTTTGTTTCTCTGGCACAGAAACTTGCCTTCATGGTGTCTCTAGGGTTGGTAACACACGACCATCTAGAAGGTAAGAGAAGACACGCATGATGTTGCCTTGCTTCTGGCTCAGAGCTGTGTTCCTGAAAACGGTGTTTGATTGTATTGCTGGAATAGGAAACTGAAACACAGATAGAGTATTATTCAGTCACTGTGGACTGACTTCCTTTAGAGTAAAAATTGCTGCTGTTCCGCCCCTCCTCTTCCTATCATTGTGTATCCACACTGCTGTTGCGGGCAAACCATCCAGTTACCTGGGTTAAGGTGACTTCTATTCACTTAGGGGTGTTTTCCTCTGATGGTATAAAGTAGCAAATGCCCCTCTGACTTTGTATTTTCGATCACTCTTGGTTATCGGAATCTTAAGAATGGTTACAAAGCTGTACCTGTCTTGATTTTCACACTGAAGAATGGTGAACTGTGGTTAATTCAGTCTAGGTCCATGGATGAAGTTCATCCACACCTGCATTACAGTGATCTAGAAATAAATTGGACCAGCTTGTTTGCACGTGTTGTCTGCCATTAACCATTGGTCACAGAGAGCCTTGCTGTGGGACCGTGTGCTCTTGCTTTCCGAGAGGTGACAGCAGATGGTCCTGTGTGTTTGCAGTGTGCTCGCCTCTGCTGAGGCTGCCGCGAAACAGAGAGATTGTTTCCCATCTCTCATTTGTCATGAGAAAACCAGTAATTAAAACAATGCAGTTAAGTTTTTGAGGTTCTCCATATCTCTCTTCTAATTCCAACATTTTGCCTCCCCAAGAAATCCAAAGCAAGAGGCAAGAGCGGAAAAGAAGGACAACAGCAAACCCGGTGTACAGTGGAGCAGTCTTCGAGCCAGAGGTACTCCGGGCCGCGCTCGGCCCCGCCCCGGGTCCAGTCTAGTCGGGACTTGCTCAGTGCCTCCCGTTCAGAAACCTCCCTAAAGCAGTGCCCTGGTTGTACTCAACCAGCTTTCCCAAATGATGGGTTTTTTTCTGGCTGATTCCATTATTTCACTTTTATTGTTCACTGCTTTCCCCTTAGTTTTTTCCTAAGTTTGAACAGATACAAACCTTCCTTAAAAATCTAACTAATCCTGGCTTCAACTCAGCTATCATCTGAAGCAGAGGCAGAACTCTCTGGAATTTTATCTCAGAGCCAAGTATATATAATAAAGTATGTTGGCACTGAGACCCTGGGGTGACTGGCACCAACTGGTCGGGATGTTGACAGGCATGCTGTGCTTGGTCCGTAGCTTTTGCCAGTATTGCTAGTAACCATGCTATTCAACCAGTCACATTTCCTTCTTCAATCCTCAAAGCGTAAGAAGAGTGCAGTCACATACCTGAATAGTACAATGCATCCTGGGACCCGGAAGAGAGGTGAGTCCCTTTTTACATCTCGCCTTTGCTGTTGCCTTTGCTTTCTGTGTTGTGTTTCTTCCCTCTCCCCTTGGAAATAGTTTTGTTGTTGTTACTCTCTGAGAACGAGGGAAAAAGAGAGTGAGATTTCTTATTAGAGTTCTGTATACTGAATCAAATACTGCCTTTCCTGGTAGCAAAGCTGACTCAGGGGAATGGCTTAATGCAGCAGTTCTGCCCCAAGCCCACCAGGCCATCCATGAATACTGCACCGTGAACAGAACACTGTGTAAAAGGAAGCTTTTTGGCACCATTGAGCAGAGCGCAGCACTGCTGTTGCCAAGGTGCTCTGAGTGGCGTCTAAGTCATCCTGCCGCCAGAGAGACCAGAGCATCATCACTCTTACGTTTCTGGGAGCTGTAGACTTTCCAGGAAGGGGTGAGGGAGCCACGCTGAAAACTAGCGTCTGTGAGAAGAAAAGGTCACTGTCAAACAGGCTTCCAAAAGCAGAAATGCCTAGAGAGCTCCATGCCCGCATTCGACCTCTCCCGGGCAGGCGGCCCACCTCACGCTTAGGGCGGAGAGGCCGCAGCAGCAGCTCTTACTGTGCAGGTCTAGATAGGTCCTAATAGCTCAGGGTTTGAGCTCATAAACAAGGTTCTGAAATTGCTCTTTGATGTCAGTAATACATCCCAAGGTCCCTTTCTCCACATGGTAATGTGTCCCTGAATTATAGTTTCAAGCTGGAAAGGTTGCAGAGGGAGCAGAGTAGCATACTAATTTTGCATATGCACACACAATCTCAGAGCTCCCGGCAGCTGAGGAGGTCATCTCGACCCTTTGTCTGCCTTGGGGGGGGGCTGCAGCTGCACCACTGCCACCTCCGCCCCAAAGAGCTAGCATGCCCACCCTTGGTGACCAACATTCCCATGTTGTATCGGGCCCGTCCTTCAAGTTGTCAAATATATTTAGGTGAGAAACCCTAAGCCATTGCTTTGTATCAGTTCCTGGGCCACAGTAATCAGTGTCATAGGTTATTTTGTGCGGTGTTGTTTTGTTTCATTCTGAGTGATTTTTAGAACGCTCAGCCAGAAGCCACAGTTTATTGGCCTGCTGGTGGGCTGTGTCTGCTACAAGGACAGGGGTTAAATGAGCCAGAAAGACCTTGGAGTCTCATGCCAAGGTCAGAGGATGAAGCCTGCATTCCCAGTGTCTAGGACATGCCTTCAGTGAGGAAACATAGAGCATTCATCTTCCACCGCTCCTTCTCACAGCACTAAGTTCCCCAGAAGAGGCAAGCCAGCACAATCAGCCTTTGCACGGCAGATGTTCCCAGCTCCGCATACATGGGTTGTGTGTGCGTTACCTCCGACAGAATCCGGGCTCCTGTGCATAGCTTTGCTGTAAATCGTAACTGCTGGTGAAGTCACAGCCCTGCGTACCATCCACCAGTGCTCGTAGGCAGTTGTGTACTTCTCTGGCTTTTTTTCCCCTTTGGTGTTCTGGGCAAATACTTTTGTTCACTCACAGCTTACAAGCTGTGACCCCAGCCTTAGAAGACAGGACCTTCTCAGGCAAGAGTGGTTGGCCTGGATTTCCCACACCCATTAGGGTTCATTTATCAATACGCTGTAGCCATGAAGCTTGATTCAAAATACTCTTGCTCAAATCAGGTCTCTCAGTCAGCAGTGTTGCTGATGACAGCCTTCCCCAGGATGGGGGACAGCCCCAGTTCTTAGACACGTCGTTCACCATGTCATTCACCAGAACGTGGTGGAACACGGGGAGATGGTTCTGGGTCAGCGGGGGAGGACACCCGAGTCCAGTCCTGCTTCAGTTCATATTTAGGCTCAGGGCATCTTTTTAGTTCTTTTGTTCCAGTTACTCCTGGAACAGATCTCTCACTAGCTCTACCAGCAAGGGGTAAGAATAGTAAACTTGAATTCTGTCTCCTTGCTTCACCTTTCTCCATCTGTATAAGCAGTGAAATGACCGAAAAAATTAGGCAGGAGAGAAAAGGAAAAGCAGAAATCCTAAATAAATTTGTTGGAGGGAACTGCGGATCGTTATTACTGTAAGAATGACGGTTACAGAGAAACACTAGGAAACGACACGCAGAAGACGTGGGAAATCTCGTGCCTGGCCCGGGCTCCCAGGGAGCTCTGGTTCCCCCGTGAGAAACCTGCAGCTGTCGCAGTCGGGGGTGTCACTGTTAGCTGCCCAAGGCAAGGCCCTCCCACATGACCCAGCACCCCTGTCATTCATTCTCCACGTTCTCTCTTACCCTCCCTTCTTTTGAGGCTCATGCAGTTGTTTCTAATGACATTTAAATCTTTGCTTCTCTTCCTCTCTTTGGGACTGTTGTATTAACCTCCGTCTGCTACCTCACTTCCTTTTCCATGCTAGCCAATGAGGAACACTGGCCAAAGGTATGTAAGATCATGTTTCCCCCTTTCTTTCCCTCCCCCTTTTCCCTTTTGTTCCCTTCTCTTGGTATATAGGTCGTCCTCCAAAATACAATGCAGTGCTGGGGTTTGGAGCCCTTACCCCAACATCCCCCCCATCCAGTCATCCTGACTCCCCTGAAAATGAAAAGACAGAGACCACATTCACTTTCCCTGCACCTGTCCAGCCTGTGTCCCTGCCCAGCCCCACCTCCACAGACGTAAGTAACTCGGGAAAAGCTCACGGTCTTTCTGAGAGCTCCAGTCGGGGAAACCGTTATCCTGTGTTGTCTCCTTACCAGCTGCATCTCCTTGACTAACCCTGGAACAGCAGTAACCCCCACAGGACACTGTGCGCCAGTAAGGCCGTGACTGCAGGGGCCCTGGGTCCTGCTGTGTCCTTGAGATCATGTGAAATCCAACATCAGGAGGCTCAGTCGGAATGTTCAGAGTCTGGGTTTCATGTGCTATGAATGAGTTCTCAGGAAGGAGGATGGGGCGGGCAGTCAGCTCATATCATCGAAGGGTGTGCAGGCTGCCACCATCCGTGTTTGGGGGGGGTGAACATGCCGCATGTTCCCCTAGCGGTTGTTGCTTCCTGCTTCAAGTAGGATTCAAGAAATGAAAGACTTTCTAAAGCAGCTCTCTTCAGCAGAGTTGGTTAGAGCCAGCTTCCACAAAAAGTGTCAAGTACTTAAGTAGTCACCCAGAAACTGCAGGAATGTCAACTAGTGCCCTGAGTTTTTAAATGAGCATTTACAAAGCAGTGAATTCAGTCAACAAATACTCACTGAGCACTACTCTGGTGCAAGCACTGTTCTTGGGGCTGGGGACAGAAGAGAGAACAAAACCAATCCCTGCCCGGAGGGAGCTTGTATTTCATGGCCAGAGGCAGGTGACAAGCAAACGAAAGTGTATGTCAGGGAGTGATAAGTACTGTGGAAAAATGGGACAGGCAAGGAGCATAAGCAGTTATGGCAAGAGGTTGCTCTTTATGAAGAATGCTGAGAAATCCTCTCTGATAGGAAGGGGAGTACAGTGGGGAAGAGCATTCCGTGCGAAGGGAACAGCAGTGCCGAGGCCCTGAGGTAGAAATGCACACGGCATGGAAGAGAAGAGGCCAGGACAGCTGGGGCGGTGGGGGAGGAGACCCCAGGGTGGCAGGGTCGGTGCTGCGGGGCCCTGTGGCTGTCACTGTGCCTGAAATAGGAGGTCACTAGAGGGTTTTGAGTAAAAGTGTGATGTCATTTTTTAACATTTTATTTTGGAAAATTTCAAACCTACAAAACAGTTGCAGTAACAACGCAAGGAGCCAATGTGTACCCTTCACTTAGATGGACTGGTTGTTACTGTTTGGTCACAAACACTCCCCCCCACACACACAACACACGTTAACACACACACACACACTCTTGTTTGAACTAATTAAAAAGATATTGCAGACATCATGAATCTTCACCCAGAAATACTTTATATCTCCTAAAGAATAAAGATATTCTCTGATATAGATAGCCACAATGCAAATTGAGAAACTTTAATATTGATGAAATGTTACATGGTATATCGTTCGCACTGAGATTTCTCCTTTTGGCTCAGTTATTTCAATTACTGCCTTAGTGGCACTTTCTTATTTCTGCTCCAAGATCCAGCCCAAGCTCACTATTTATTGTCTCTGTAGTCCCTTTACTCTGGAATAGTTTCTCAGCCTTTCTTTCCTTTCGTGACATTGATATTTTTAAAAAGATAGGCCAATTGCTATGTGGAGCATCCCCCTCCATTCCCCTTCTGGAGGGACGTTCCCTTAAGAGGAGATTCGAGGTGTGCATTTTTGTAGGGATACTAAATAAGTGGTGGCACGTCATCCTCAGTGCATCGCAGCAGGAGGCACGTGTTGTCAGCCGGCCCTGTTGTTGGCGATGTTAACGTTTCCTCTCTTAAAATAGATCCCGTCAGATTTCTCCACCTGTGCAGGCGCCCGTCCCCTCCGCTGCAGGCTGCTTGGAGTCTGTGTGCACACCCACTTCGCCAGCAACCATTGCCCAGTGGTTTAGTGTCCTTCAGTAGTTCTTGCCTGTATTTGTTATTTGAAGGTGTTTGCAGAACTGATTTGGATTTTTAAGGGATCGCTGTGTGGAACCGGAGAAGAGACTGTGGGGAGGAAGGATGGAAGCAGGGAGACCAGTGAGGAGGCTCCGCGGTCACCTGAGCAGAGCCTGTGCTGGCGCGGCCTAACAGGGCGGCAGCGGTAGAGGTGGAGGAGAGTGACGGAGTCTGCATCTGTTTTGAAAAGCCAGCAGGATTAGATAATGGGGTGTGATGAAGAGAACAGTCGGGGCACAGGGAATGGCTAAAGCCGCCATTTACTGGAGAGGTGAGAGGAGCAGCTTTGAGACGTCCCATTTCTTTTGTGAATCACAGAGCTTGTCTTAAGGATCACCTCCGGGCAAAATATCCCTTCAGTTTGCAGGTTCTTAGTATTAGTAAAAGTCTACCCCTCTCCAAAGAGCAAAAGAATGCCATTTGCACACCCTAAGTTAAAATTCCACAAGCAATGAAGGACGGGTCCCCTTTGGAGGACCAGGGTCATAAAGAGTTTGTTCTCCAACGGGTTTCCTTCCTTTAACAGTTGCTGGCTATACACCCACTGGCTCTCAATCTTCAGCATTTTCATCCAGCTTCCTGACTTGGCATTAGTAACGGACTCAGGTGTTCTCTGCCTGTCCTGTTAACCAGCACCAGGAGTCCCTGTGCCCTGTTTTGTGGCACCAAAGCTTGTCCCAGCTCTTTCTCAGTGAAAGCGCTGCCAAGGGCCCGACAGCTCATAGCTTCTGGGGGGGGCGCTCCCCCAGGGTGGCGCAGAGTGCTGGGGACAGACGAGTCTTTGGTTCTACTTGTGGGTCTCTCTGAAACAATGTTGTTGTTATTTTTTGTGATTTTTGGCCGAGGGGTTTTATAAAAATGGTTTTCTTGGAAGGATCCACCCAGATTGGAAGGATCCAATCACAAACTAGAAGCTTCTGCCATGTTTTGTGTTAAAATGCAAATATTATTCTTTTTAGAAATCTAAAAGTAAAAGGAAACTTTTCTAAAACCACCGAATAGGTTGGTAACTTCCTAGGTTAAACCTAGTGGAATGGATTCTTTAAAAACGGTAATTGACTTCTACTTTTACAGTATCCCAGAGGTGGCCATTATTAAAACTGACACACGGGGCTCCGTGTTTTGCTGCGGGCGGCAGAAGCCCCAACAACATTAATTAAACAGCAACAGCTGAAAGGCAGGCATTTCCTGGAGATCAATAACCATCTAGAGGAATTGCTAATACAAGACTCAGCTGGGCACTGATCCTCAGGATGTACCTTGTTGCCACTATCATCATTTTTATGAGAAGGGAAGACATGTCGACACAGTTACACAATTTTTTTTAGCAAATGGTGAAGTTGCAGTTGATAGAACCAGGGTGTTTCTAAAAAGTATATGTCGTCAGCTCCTAGCAAAAAGAATCACAGGTCAGCCACCTTTCTTCTTACCATTTAGCTTACGGTCATGATTTGGTGAGTCACCAGAGCCCAAGCTCTTCTGGGACAGCATCTCTGTGGAGCCGCCTCTGCTCTGGCACAGCACAGAACCAGTTCTGTGCGGATGAAATTCGTATCTTACCATTTTATATTCATTTCTGTGGGCAGCAGTTCTCTGGTGGAGGCCCTGAGACTCTTTCAGAGGGTCCATAAAATCTAAACTGTTTTCCTGTCGGTGCCCCACCAGTCTTCCAGTTCCACGCACATTCTCAGGCGTGAATGGTGGCATTTTCCAGACGCCGTGTGACAGGGGGACGGCTAGCGGGGAGGGCTCCATGTGTCCTGGGGTTTCAGAGTGTTCCAGTGCACCGTTCTCACAGCTTTCTGTGGTTCTGTCATTACTTCAAAACTGAACACTTTTAAACTTCTAACACAGTAAATATCAATATATATAACCGCCGTAAGCAAAAGCTCCTTGAGGTCCTTAGTAAAGTAAGAGCGTAATGGGGACCCTGACACCAAAAAGATTAAGACCTGCTGCAGTGAAGAGGGTAGAAGTCTGTTTCTCTTCCTTTGGCAACTGGAAAGGAATTTTGTAATTTTTATTTTATGTCCTTTCTGCCCTCCACTTCCTCACGTTCTCCTGATTCAGGAGCAGAGGAGAGTGAGCAGGAACGCCTTAGCCAACTAGCCCCTCTGAGTAGAATGTCCAGTTTGTCTTCTCTACTGCGTCACTGCTAATTTCGTCTGTGATGCATGCGAAACACTCTTAAGCCCTAGGATTTTCACCAACTCTCAAAGACACAGGCTTACAACAGGGGGCTAAGGCTTAAGAAAGACCAGCTCTCTAGAGAAGGACACCCCAGCCTGGTGTTAAGGATGAAGACAGAGGTGCAGGTTGCTGGCGGGATGGGCCGCTGCTCTGTCGGTGCTGGTGGGTGAGCTGCCACAGTGCGTTCTCAGGCAGCGCTCTTGTATCTGGGCTGAGTATGTTTTTCACTGCCCAGAGGTAACATTTTCTTACTAAGCCAGGTTAAAATCCAACCACACTCTGATTATCTGATAACTTTCTGAGCTGGTTTTCTAGGCTGCTGGACACCCTAGTGAATTATACAGCAAGTTTCCTTTCCTAGAAAAAATTGTGGGTCTGGGAAGGTGTGCTCCGTCCGCGGTGGTGGTTGGGGGGGTGTAAGCTTGGAAGGGAGAAGTGAGCATTACTGTCTGCACCACCACTTCCTGTGCATAGTTTCTGACTTAGGCCTTTTGGCAGAATAGCCTAGAAGTCTAAACCAGCACCTTGGAAGTGAAAAGGAGTCTGGTCCCCACTGTGGCACTGCCTTTGCTGGCTCACCTCTGACATGTCCCCTCAGCCTTCCCGTCCCTGGCGTCTTCATCAGCAGTGTTGATTCTGTCCAGAGACGAGGTCAGGGATTGACTCGCTGAAAAAGACCTATTTAATCCCTCTTTTTCTTCTTCAGTGTTCTCCAAATTTTAAATAGACCTGCTTTTTTTTTTTTCTCACGGTGCCTTCTGTACAGATGGCTCCAGCTGACGTGCCTGGGCACTGGTGCTCATGGAGCAGGTTGGGCAGGCGGACGCACAGAGGCGCTCTTCTCTGCGCACCTGGTGCGGTAGTTTGCCGGGCAGGCTACAGCCGCCCAGAATAGAACAGTCCGCTGAACAACAAATGCCAAATACTTGTTTTAAGACACAATATTGTCAGCTGTTGTCTTGGCTTTTAAATCCTTTGTATTAGAAAGCTTATGTCAGTTTAATTGGCTCCTGACTTAATCTTCTCCCATTTGAAATTTCACTGTATTTTTTTCTCCCTCAGCAAAGGGCTTAGTCAAATTCCATTTCTTGTCTGTTGTTGTTCCCAGTCCTTCTAAATTTCCTCCAGAAACGATAGGTAATGAGAACCGTTGGTGTACTTGTTTTTAGAGCACTTCGACGGACGGGTTTCAGTGTCTCACACTCTCTGACTGGGTCGGGCTCCAGCAAAACGTGATCAGTGCCGTCACCTACAGAGTTAACTGTGGCCCGGTGACTGCAGAGCTTTTCTATAAAGTGCTGGAAAATTAAGAAGTCTGCCCCTGCCCAGGGAACCTCGGCTGTGTGGGGCAGGCGGGGGCTTGTGCCATTTGTGCTTTTCTTGAATACTCATGTGTGTAGCATGTTGGGGTGCAGAGCGAATTGTCCTGAAGCAGTTGTATGTGTCCAGAATGTCCATGTTAGCGTTCACACTTTACCTTTTCGTCCTTTCTCTTACCTTTCTTCTCAATTTCGTAGGGTGATATCCACGAGGATTTTTGCAGCGTTTGCAGAAAAAGCGGCCAGCTGCTGATGTGTGACACGTGCTCCCGAGTGTACCACCTGGACTGCTTAGACCCGCCTCTGAAGACCATCCCCAAGGGCATGTGGATCTGTCCGCGATGCCAGGACCAGGTATTGGGGGCTGGGCAGGGCATGGGGCCGAGAAGGGGAGAGACAGCGCAGTCCAGAGGCCTTCCCTTTCCCTCTGAGCTGGGGGATGGTGCCTCGGCCTGCCGAGGTTTTCTGCCCGCTATGTACAAGTGGAAACACTCTCACTGCTTCCCTTTATTTGAAAAGACTTACCTTCCCATTACCTTGGCCCTTAAAAGTCCATAAAAGTTTCTGCTTCATTCTCTTAAGAATGGGCCAAACCTAGGCTGTGGTTTTGAAACTCTCTTGAAAATAAAATTCTTCAATGACAGTGCTCGATTGATTGTTTCATTCAGATAACAAGTGCCACTTTTAGCCCATGTCACCATCAGGGTCAGAGAACCAGCTGCAAAGTGCTGTCTCAGTATTTCATGGACTCAGAAGGCAAGTGTAGAATCGTGCACTGTGTAGTGAAAGGGATACATTCTGAGAAATGTCATTAGGTGGCTTTTGTCACGTGAACATCACAGAGTGCACTTTCACGTACCTGGCTGTGCCGCACACCCAGGCTGCATGGTGCAGCCGCTGCTCCCGGGCTACAGGCTGCAGCACGTCGCCGCCCGAACAACAGGAGGCTACATCGAGCACAAGAGAACGTGATACAGTCGAAAGACACGGTAGCCACAAGACATACGGGGCTGCTGCCAGCGTAACAGGGCGCACTGCTTTACAGCGAAGTTCTTGTTTTTAAGAAATAGAAGTGTATACTCTAAAATAGTAACAAATAGATAGTATAGCAAATACATGAACAGTAACATAGTTGTCTGTTATCATCATCAAGTATTATGTACTGCACATACGTGTGTGTGCTTTACTTTTGTACAACCGGCCGTGCAGTAGATTGGTTACACCGGCAGCACCACAGACACGTGAGGAATATGTGTTCCATGATGTTACAACAGCTATAATGTCACTAGGCAATAGGAGTTCGCCAGCTCCATCAGAACCTTATGGGACCACTGAGGTGTACGTGGTCTGCCATGGCCAGACATTGCCGCACATGACTGTATTATTAGCTGTCCCCACCTCTTCCCCCCTTTCTGTTCAGTTTCTGACTTCTCTTTCTCAACTCTCCATGCGTATTAAGGTTTTCATTATAAGTGATCTGAAGCCTTTTCTGGAGGTAGGCAAATTTTAAATAATAAATAAGCAGGCAGTAGCTCAACAGATATTGGGGTCCTGCTCAGTGTTTTGGAATTCTGATTGGAGAGAGTGCTGGGTTTCCCTTCTTAATCTTTGTCTTCTTCCTGCTGTCTCCCCAGTGTAGTTAGCAGAGACAGTTCTCTCTGTTCTCTCCCAGTTTCCTCTTGGTGACCCTCTGGTCATTTTCTACAGGGAGCCTAGATTATACCTTAGTATACAGAGCTGAAGCTTTATTGCCTCAGTCAGGCAGTCTTTGGGGGATATGTAAAGCTAAGACAGGCAGCCGGTATGAGGTCAAGGACGAAACTGCCATGCCTGTGGACATCATGCAGACTTGCAGCTTATGCTGGTGGTTCTGGCTACGGGGAGTCATTGGGGCTACACGGCATGTATGGAAAGATAAGAGTGCCCAACCAAGTCCCAGCCTCTCTCTAAGCTGGGACTCAGGTAGCTTGGTTCTTCCTGCTTCACACCTCATTCTCTTAGGCTGACATCTGGAAGTTTGTAGTCCAGAAACTAGAGACCATGGTTTTGCCACCATATCATTCCTGGATTTTTGTCTGCCAGTAGCTGCAAAAACTTACCGCCACCATTGCTTGTAATTTACACAGTGGATGTGCATCTATGCCTCCTTCTCAAGGTAAAAGTCTAAAAATCTTTTCAGATGCTGAAGAAGGAAGAAGCAATTCCATGGCCTGGAACTCTAGCAATTGTTCATTCCTATATCGCCTACAAAGCAGGTAGAGTTACCCATCACCCCTTTTGTGTAATCTTCCCTTGTTTAAAAAAGTTACTCAAAGGAAGTATTGCTTTGTTTTCAGAAGGAAATTTAAAGTTAAAAATGAAAAGCTTTTAGTGAATGAAGGGGAAAGTTGTGTAGCCCTTTCTTGGGAAGGAAAAATGGAAAGCATATCCTGTGCACGTAAAACCAGGGCCCAGCCCATGACAGCTTCCCCCACCTGCAGTGTCCAGGGGGTGTCTGGTGGGCGGGGTCCATGCACAGCTGCGGCGCCCAGTCATTCTGAACACAGTGGCCTTTTCGAGGAATTTATTGTTAAAAACAGTTCCCTTTTTTTTTTTTTTCAGCAAAAGAAGAAGAGAAACAGAAGTTACTTAAATGGAGTTCAGATTTAAAACAAGAAAGAGAACAACTAGAGCAGAAGGTGAAACAGCTCAGCAATTCTATAAGTGTAAGTAGACCCTGTGCCTTCAGTGATAAATGCAAGAGATAATAGAACTTCCCATGTAAATAACAGTTCCTGTGGCTCCCAAGGCTGGTTCAGATTCTTTAGCTGATTAACACAGTCAACTTGGGCAGATATGAAGTTTGCCTCTAGTTAGAGTTGGCCCTCAGGTACAGGAGGCCAGGGGTAAATACGGTGCCTCAACCAAGCTCTGGAACATCCTTCTGATTTTGGTCTGAGAGCAAGAATTTTCCATCTCCCGGCTGAAGAGGTAGATCAGCAGTGACAGCAGTGTAGCCGCCATGCCTGCGCGCTCCTGAGCGTGTTTGGGAGGAGTGTGGAGCCTCACCTGACACTGGGCAGATGCAGACCAGGTCCCCACACACGCACCTTCCTGGTCGCCTGAGCCTGTGGGTCCATCCACGTGGCCCTTCCCTTTCACCCTTTCTTCCACTCCATGCTGTTTACATTTGCAGGTTTTCCTGATCAGCCTGAGGAAGAGGGGTTTCTAGAAACAAGTATGGAAGTAAATACTGCCCAGCCCTCCCTGTCCAGGTGGGAGAGAGAGTTGTATTTGTAACAGGGATTCAGGGGCTCCTCCCAACAGGAGCAAGTCCTTTTCCGATGAGTAGGTGCCCCTCATTGGAGCGAGGTGGCCTCAGCCCTCACAGACACCAGGCGGTGTCCTGGATTTGGTGACAGTTGAGCTGTCCCACTAACCTGCTTTCCCTCCCCACCGTGCAGGTTTCCCATCTCTTTCCCAGCCTAGAACAGAAGCCAACAGATGTGAGAGGCTGAGTGCAAATGACTACAAGTGAGCGAGCAGAAGGGGTTCTGTTGGCCGAAGTCTGATTCTAAACATCTCTGTCCGGCCCCAGGCTCTGCCTCTAAGTTCTTGCTGCCTGAGTGATCCTTGGTGCCCCTGGCTGGTTTCCTACTCTGGGAAGCTCAGTCTGATCTGCAGTCTGTTAGCACCCATCAGCACGGTGGGAAAGACTGCCAGAGCAGCTTCAGCCCAGCTGTGGGGACTTTGTTTTTGAAACGACTTTTATTTTGTAGTATTAGAATGGGAATTCACCTTTGGTTTTAAGTCCTAGTGTCAAGTACAGTTGGCTTTTAAACTACTCGTTTGCTCTCTCTCTCTTGCCCCCGGGGCCTCCCCCTTCCTTGGGTAGTAGCGTTCACTCCAGTGTGGAGAACAGGGCTAGGGGCTGCGCGCCAGCCAGCGAGGATCCTCGGTCCCGCAGAGGCTGGCGGGCCAGTCAGCACACTGCAGGCTCAGAGCACCACCCTTCTCGTTGCTGCAGAAATGCATGGAAATGAAGAACAGCATCCTGGCCCGACAGAAGGAGATGCACAGCTCCCTGGAGAAGGTAAAACAGCTGATCCGCCTCATCCATGGCATCGACCTCTCCAGACCTGTGGACTCTGAGGCCACCGTGGGGGCCATCTCCAACGGCCCGGACTGCACCCCCCCTGCCAGCGCCGCCACCTCCACGCCGGCCCCCTCCCCCTCCTCTCAGAGCTGCACAGCGAACTGTAATCAGGGGGAAGAGACTAAATAACAGAGCCCTGCTAAGAGAAGCCACGGGATCCCGGCGGCAAGGAGAGCGAAACACTGAAGACTCTAGAAAAGCAAAGCCGGATTTCTTCTGGAAAGTACGGAATTCTTTTGGTTCTTTGGTTCCAGAGAGAGAGAAGATGCTTGTGCCAGGTGGCACCAGAGTTTGCCAATTGATCCTTCTTATTCTGTGTGTACATGCAAAGATTGGACCATGTTACATGAAATAGTGCCAGCTGGAGGTTTTTTGCCAGCACCATGCCAAGTGAAATAATATATTTACTCTCTCTATTATACACCAGTGTGTGCCTGCAGCAGCCTCCACAGCCACCATGGGTTTGTTTTCGTTTCGTTGGGTGGGGAGCGGGGACGGGCGGAGGGAGGAGAGCAGGTTTCAGATCCTTATTTGCCGAGCCGTTCGTTTAGGTAGAGAAGACGAGTCCAAAGAGTGTGTGGGCTTCTCCTGTTTCTAAACTCTCACTACTATAAAACCAAAAAAAGAAAATCGAGATTTAACCAACCCCAGTGCCCGGAGGAGGGACGGGGAGGGAATGGGAGGGAGCCGGGGTGGGAAAAGCATATCAAACAAGCAGTATTTCTTATTGTCTGTGGTGGGCCCCAGCGCGCGGAGAGGCGGACACCGAGAACCACTGGGGTTCTTCTCCCGAGCGCCCCACTCCCCCGCCGTGGGCGCCCCGCCACTCCCCAGGTTCCCTGCGTTGGCAGATTGGCGCGCAGCCGTGGGTGATGGGTTCCTTCCCTCTCCAAGAACAAGCAGAGCCAGGCTCAGCGGCCCTTGCCCAGGGCGGGGAAGAAGGGTGTGTCGAGGAAGGAAAAAACGGTGGATCAGTGATTTTACTTGAAAACAAGCTCCATCCCTTTTCTATATTTATAAGAAAGAAGATCCTGAGCGAAGCAGCGCGCGACCCAGGTGTGTGTGAATTGAATGGAGACATTTCTCTTTTTTTTTTCCAATTTTTGTTTTTGTTCTTTTTTCCTTTTAAAACAAAAGTTTTATTTTGTTATCTGTTTTACTTTTTTGGTAACAAAAACTAAACTAAGGCATAGCAAAGCTGTTTTCAGGCTGACGGTCCAGTTGAGGTCGCCGAGGCCTTGCATGGTAGAGTAGGAGCCGTAGCGTCAGTGAGGTCCAGTGAGTCCGTGTGAGTCCGTGTGTCACCGTTCGGGACACCGTTTTTTTTTATGCAAGGGCAGAATCTTTGTATCTGGGGAAAAAACAACAACAACTTTTTTTTTTAATTAAAAGAGAAAATAAAAGATATTGAGGTCTTCCTAGTGTTACTTAAATTAAGATCAAGGTAAGAAACATTGTAAAAAAATACAAAAGTGCTATTTGTTTCCTAAAAACAGTGATTTCTATTAAAAAGGTGTCAGAACTGGAGAAAATGCTGTGTAGTTATAATTTTTTAGCACAGAACCTGCTGATCATGATGACATTTGCTGTGTTTGTATCTCGAGACTGTTGGGCTAGTCTCCATGATTTCTGACCTCGGACGGCTGCGGCCCTGCCAGGCAGGCACGGGGCTCTCCCGCCGCTCCCCTCCTCAGAAAGACCGCCCTCTCTTCTCGGTGCAGGGGTCTGGGCTTCTGTCGTTGAAGCCCAAGTGGAGTGTGGATGGTATCAGGGCCCTACCCACTGTCCCCTCGGATTCTGCTAGAGCAAAAGGCTGGTGCCTACATAAGATCCCTTCCTTTGGTGCTGCTCTTGGTCTTTCAGCCACCAGCATTTCGAGTGCCTGGGGGACGGCTCAGAAGGAAATGGGCAGTGAGGCTCGTTGGCGCCCAGGCACCCTGCCTTGTGGGAGGGCGCAGGGGGCACACTGGCCGCATGGCCCGTGGTGCTTAGAACGAACAAAGGAATGAGATTTCTTAAGGTTACATGGTGTTTCTGAGACAGCCCCAGGGTGGCCTTTGTGTCTGTCTTGCCTTTGAAGAGAGGTCTGAATTCCCGGCCCCTTGCTCAGCCTGCTGGCTCCAGGCCCCAGAGATGGAGTTTTCTCCACTTTGCCCGCCCACAAGCTTCCTGGGTGACTTTTGGCTGGAATCTGTGCTTACCTTGGCTTGGCCCGTCTCCCTCTTTTAGAAATCAGGCTTCCAAAAGGCTCGGACCATTTCTGTCATCTTGCCTTGTGGGAAATGGCTTTTGTCAGGTGTGTGTTCCCGCTGGAGTCCTCTGCCCATTGTGCACCTGGCCAGCGGGAGGGAGGCAGAGGCTGTGGGCCCCAAGCCCTCCCAGCGTGTGTCTCCCCAGCCAGCCCACCCCATGCCTCCTCACAGCCAGAGTCCGGGAGGGGCAGAGAAGGTCCCATTGTTTTCTCCCTCACCAGTTAGCCCCAGAGAGACAAAGATGGATCCTGAAAGCAAGTGCGACAGACACCTCTTGGGTGAAAGGAGTCTCACCTCTACCAGCGATTCTCATTCATCGCCCCAGGGAGGTGACGAGAGGCCAATGAGAGTGGCTGCACAGGCCTCGGAGTCAGGCCCTGGCTGAGGGGTTGTCTGGGGGGGACAGAGAGGAGCTCCCTTTCTTCACACAGAAACCAAGGTGCTATGTTTAGCCAGGGAGCCGTGTCTGGTCGGGAACAGCTGGCCGAGGCGCAGAGCCCAGTGGCAGGCCACGGGCCTGTCTCAGGACTCTCCCACTCCACTTGTCGGGGCAGCGGGTTGCCAACGCTACCTTCCTTCTTGAGAGAAGTTGGGAAACCAACCATCACAGAGGCCTTCGCTCAGGAAGGAGCTGCCTGAGGATTTCTGGGTGGGGGCAAAGCTGGGAATGGACCCGTGTGTGGTCCGCTGCTGGGAGCAGGCCCCTCTGACTGTGCCTAGGGCTGGGATGTAGATTCTTCCTAAAGTTCAGATAGGAGCCATTTGGGGAGTCAGCTAGCGTGGGGTCCAAAAATGCATCCCTGCCCCAAATCCACATTCTGGACTCAAATTTCAAAGCATCTTACCGCAAGGAAAAGCCCACAGTCACCGGCTCCCTTTCTGCCCCCGTCCTGCCAAGGGAAGCCCCCCGTCTGTCCCCCAGACCTGTGGTGCCTGTGCCCACCTGAGACACACACGCACGACTCCCACCCCTCCCACTCTTCCTCTCCCCACACCTGAGCATAGTGGCAGACAAATCGGAGACGGCCTGGCCTTGCAGTCACCTCAGAGGCCCTGCTCTGCTGGTTTGGAACCAGGGAGCCGCCCACCCGCCCCATGATGGGAGCCATTGTTAATCCTGTGGCTCAGGCAGCTCCGTGCCCTGCAGGCAGTGAGGTCATGCTACTGTCATCTTCTCCTCCATCTTCAGCTCACCTTCTTGCCAACGTGGCCAGCAGGTCCTTTTTCCCTCGTGGAGCCTGCTGGGTCTTGTCTCTCCTCTGCCGAGCTCATCCGGAGTTCTGCTTCCTTCCTTCCATATCAGGCCCTTGGGGCAAAGCTACTGGCTGTACCTGGCAGGGAGCAGTGTATGGGGCCAAGGCAGCCTCCAGCTGGCACCGTCTGAGTGCCCAGTTTCCCTCCAGCAGGACGACCACTCTGCCCCTGCTACTGCTTGGCTCAGTGGGTGGCAGGAATGGGCACAGCTGCTCCCCCCACGCTTCCCCCAGCAGGGTGGCTGTTTCCCACTCATCTGTGTGTAGTTGCCTCTCTGCCGTCTCCCACACTTCTGTCCTGGGGCCCGCAGAGCCTCCTTGGCCTCTCGCTCCCAGGGGACACAGCACCCAGAGTGGTTTCCTCCCCTCACTCCCTTCTAGGGTGTGGTCTTTCTTACTTATCCAAAGGGCTTCATAGGAGACTTTTACTCCCGGGGCAAAAGTCTCTTGGGATGGTAGGATGGACAGTGGCCCAGGCATGTTTTCCAGGCTCTGGGTTCTCCAGATTCCAAGGCTTCTGTCGGGTGGAAGCAGCCTTGCTCTCTGTGAGCGACTGTGGGCCTCGCCCCCACCCCTGGGCTGGGCACCCTTGGCAGGACACAGGAGGCCCATTCTCATCTGACTTAGAGCCATCCTCGGTGTCAGCACCTTGCCAAGAAGGGAGAAAGATGGCTCCCGAGATGGCTGGGACCTTCCCACAAATGTGAATGGGAAGAAACTAGGAGTTACCCCTGCTGAGAGCCAGGGTGGAACTCTTAGAAACAGCCCCTTTAAAGAGAGAGCAGAGCTCACGAATCCCACTGGCTCCCTCTTGCCACAAGGCCCTTCTTGAACCCTGAAGACTCCACTGTCCCCCACCACAGCCTTTGGCCCCTGCCCCTCCTTCCAGTGTCGTTGGGTCCTCGGCCCGAGTAAGCTGCAGCCAGGCAGGACAGGACAGGCAGCCAGAGGTCAGCAAGCTCTGAGCAGAAAGGAGCCGGCCAGCCCCCAACCTGTCTCTTGTCCGCGCCCTTTGTGATTTCAGTCTTGGTAGAACTTGTATTTGGAGTTTTGTGCTTCAAAGTTTTTGTTTTTGTTTGTTTGATTTTTGTTTTGAGGGGGTGGGGGGGGATACAGAGCAGCTGATCAATTTGTATTTATTTATTTTAACATTTTACTAAATAAAGCCAAATAAAGTCTCTTGGCCTCATGGTGTTGGGTTTGAGGTGCGGGGAGGGTGGGCGAGACACCCCAGTCCCAGCCCGGCGTGGGGGGGTAGGGGGACTGGGTCCTCTTACGACTCAGGAAAGACTCAGGACCCCCAGGCACCTCCCTGGGATCACAGATACCCTCATGCCCCAAACGAAGAAAAACATGAAACATCTTTTAACATTACTTAGAAAAAAGGATGCAGAGTTGAGGATGGGGAACTGGCCCCAAACCAGCTGGGGCAGAGGGAGACCAGAGGCCCAGGTCTACAAGAGCAGCAACGGGAGGCTCCCAGGCCCCACCCCACATGCTCCACTGCAGCCCTTCCCAGAGACCTTAAATAATTTAAATAACGGAGAGTGTGAGGGCCAAGGCCAAGGGCAGGGTCAAGCCACACAGGCCCAGACTTGGGAGGTCAGGAGGGCCTCAGGGCTGCCGCAGGGCAGTGAGGTATTTGAGGGCAGCAGCCCCATAGCGGCGGGACAGGTCCTGGTGGAACTCCTCCTTGAGGGCCTGCAGGCAGTCGCGGTAGGTGGTGCTGGAGCGGAAGCGGGAGATGTCAAGGCTTGGGGTGTGTGGCAGGTGGATGGCAAAGGCCTCTGGCAGCACCAGGAGCTCATACTCCTGCGGGGGCAGGACAGACCGATGGTCAGGGCCTGGGCCGGAGGATGGGGAACAGGCTTATCTCATAGGCTCTAGGAGCCAAAGCCAGGCCAAAGGGCAACTGC